AGAAAAGCCTGGGCTGAGCCTGGGTCACTCCAGGATAAATGCTCCTCTCCCTGCAAGCTTGAGAAGGCCCTGAAATGTGACGTTGGAGCACAGGCCCCTTCTCAGTCACACCACCAAGCTAATGGCAGGTGGATGCAGCCTGTCTCTCAAACCTCTGTGTGAATTGAGAATGGCACATGAAACCAGGCTTTCCTCTCTGCCCTTTGCATTTCAGTTGTAATTAGATTGTGTGTGTTCAGTGGCTTTCTCCAGGTCAGATCTGCTTATCTTCTAGTGCTTAATTGCTCCAGGAGAATTCAAATGCCTGGCCCAGGCAGGATGCTCTGTTCATCCAACCCTCCTGGCCTGGGTGCTATAATGCAATTGGTTAGGAAATTTACCTAAGCTGGTGGGCTCAGATCTTCTGATCTAAGGAGCTTTGCCAAGGGAACAGAAATAAAGAGGGCTCAGAGTAAAGCCTATTGCAGGGAAAACATCTAATGAGTAATTCTGTCTGTATCTGCAGCCTTCAGTTCCGCTTTGGCTCTGGGAAGGAAGGGACGATGGTGTTCAGTGTGGGGCAGGAGTCTCAGGTCTTCAAAGCCAAAACTGGACAACTGACAGTGGTAAGGCCTCAGCCAAGCCCTGGGAATGGGATTTGGGCTTTTTCCTCTGCTCAACCCCTGTAGAAAGCACAGCTCCGTTCCAGCAAGGGCCCTTTGGGTGAGCTCAGGAGGACTGGATTCATCTTGCAGAGCAGAGGTGCATGATGTAACTACTCAGTTAGTACCTACCTATGTAAGAACACACAATAGAAGGTCATGGCTGCAGTGGGAACTGCACCTTGCACCTTGCTGCTTGCTTTCTCCAGCTAGCATGGGCAGAGGAACAGGGGAAGGTGTGATTCTTTGTGCTTCACTGCTGGGCTCAGTGTGTGTGGTGCTGCTAGCTGACAGCTCCATGGAGGAAGTACACATGGACACGTTAATCCCCTTGGGGTACCCGTTAGCTGTCCTTGCAGCCTGGAGTTAAAGGGGGTAACTTTACATGCCAGCTGCTGAACAGAGACAGCACAGCCTCTTTTCCCACAGCCAGGACACCTCAAGGACATCACACTTGTACCTGATCTGATGACTCCTTCCTTTTCTCATCCAGGTGTCAACCCAGGCAAAGTCTTGATGAGCAACAGTCCCTGTTCCTGGTTGCTGTCCTGGCCAGGGGCAGAAAGGAGCCTGCAGGATGAGACCAGCACTCACACCTGCCCTGGGATCTGTGATGCCACAGGGCTGTTGTGATTTGAGTTTGCTTGCATCTTTTAGGCTCTTTTTTATAGCTTAAAACTATTCAATATAGCTAAATAAATGACATTAACTTGCTCTAACATTCCAGTGAGCAAAGGTGCTCATTACACAATTACAGGGAGGCATTTGAACTGAAAGCTGCAGTTCCCCATGTAAAATGTCCATCTCTAGGCACTGAGTAAGAGGTGAGAGCTCTGCCCAGGCTTCTCTGGCTGTGCTTGAGTCACAGCTCACCAGGAGTGCCTCAAGGAAGTTAACTCTGGTCTGAAACCACCTTTTCTCTGGGGCAGGCTGGTAAAGCCTTTAGCACTGCTGTTCCCTTGAGGTGGCCAAGGGGAGGGGGTGGAAGTGGGAATTCTCTGCACCTCCCGCTTGGAAGCTGTTCCACTGCTATGCTCATAGCACTTACTCTGCTGTCTCGTGTTGGGGCAAACTGGTGCAGTTCCTGCTCCGGCTCTGCCTTGGCTGACACTTTGAGGGCCTTGACTTGCTGCCTTCACATCCTGGGCTCTACAGAGTCCCAGGAGCCAGATCTCTGCTGGGAGGTCAAACTAAACCAGGGGGAGGATGATGTCTGTTTCTTCCAGCTCCATGGACCTCAAGGCCAGCTTCAGACAAGCAATAACGTGACCCATGTGTAAATATGAAATATCTTCTAATTTATTGTTACATTAAAAAAAAAGTACATATTGCAAACATCAACCATAAACTGAGCTGCAGCTGAAGCTTTTCCTGTGCATAAGTATAAAGTAGGAGGGAATGATTGTACAGAACAGAGGAACTCGCTGCTGTTGTCTGACAGACGGAACAACTCCATTAAGACTAAAAGGATCTACCTGCCCTTTGCTCTAAGGTAAGACCCATGCTACAGCTACATGGATACTGGTGGGAATAAACACCCTGATGGGAGATTGAACCCAGGGTTAAAGCTGCTGCTGGACAAAATCACTTCCACAAGTAAGATTTGGGGTACTCTACGCTGCTGTGCTGTCACTGTCGGGGTCTGGTGTGTGGGGCTGGAGCCAGGGCTGTGCTCCCTGTTACTCGTGGCAGCACCAGATGATCCAGGGCTGCTCACAGCCAGGACCTCAGCCCTGCGCCCACCTTCACCTGGAAGCTGTGGAGGCAAAACCATTTACAGTCAAAAGGCTCAAGAGCTGAAAGCATTTGTGCAATGCCATTAACAAAGCCTCTCTCCACAGCCTGAGGACAAGCAGCCAGCAGGTAAAGCAGTTCGAAGGTGACAGAGGACATCTTTGCTACTCAACTACAGCATGTGGAGGGTTAAGGCAGAGTCTGCCCATAAGTGCAGTAACAAACCTGAAACTACTCCAACTGTCCTGGAGTGAGTGAACCCCAGCTCTGTAACTGCTGTACAAGGAGCAAACAGAATCATCCCTTGGTTTCTGCAGAACCTGAACAAGGAAATCCTGAAGCCAGTGAAGAACCTATTTACAGAGAGGTTAATCACAGAGCTGGGACCTGCTTAGCACTGGTATCACCTCCTGGAGCTGAACCTGCTCCCGTGCTGCAGGATGTGACTGGGTTTGGTCTGAGCAGCCAGCATGGGGGTGCTGTGTTGGAAGCAGGCAGCTCAGCACAGCTGAGGATGGGGGTGCACAGCCTGTCCCACAGGAGAGCCAGCTCTGTGGGGTGAGCAAAGGGAGCAGGGTTTGCTGCAGGGCTACAGGGAATGGCTGGGACACAGCAGTCAGACTGAGCAGCTTCAGGGAGCACAGGGTCTGGACCCTTTCAGGCCAGTGGGTCTGTTACAGACCCTCAAACCCATGACCAGCCCAGCACCAGCCAGTGAGGATCAAAGTACAGAGAGCTGGGAAAGCAGAGCAATTCAGGAGACTTCCCTTCCACACCCCCCAGCTTATCACATCGGGAAGGTAAGAAGGGAGAGGCACTGGGTCCTTCACACCACCACTGCACTATGGACTTCTGCAACCACGTGTTAAGTAGAGCCTGCAAAAGAAGCCTGTAACTGTCAGGACAGAGCTGAAGCTGCAGAACTATACATTAACTGCTGAGCTCTTAGGAATTAGTATCTGAAGAAGAAAGGGGAGAGGAGACAGGTACAACAACCCCATCTGCATGTAGCTTAGACAAGTCTTTGGTTACCAGACCGATGACCTCAGCCTAACTTTGAAATCATTTTAGCTTAACTTGATTCAAAACTGTACCACTAAGCAAACACTTAATACTTTATTTTAGCCTCTACAGGCAAGCTAGACTGAGTTTGGGGGGTAACTGCTCCTTGAAACACATTGGAGCAACGCAGCTGGTGATGCTGGCAACACTTTGGTTTTTAACTTGTTAATGTGCCATTAACAGCCCTGAGCCAGGAGCTGGAATCCCTGCAGCAGGAAGATAACAAAACCATGTAACCCCCTCACTGAGGAACAGGGACGTGGAGCTGCTGCTCCATAGCAGATGTCTGGCTATGAACCCCAGCATGAGATATACCACATGAAGGGTCAAAACCCCTCTAGAATAGGCCAAAGTCCTCTGGTGGCTGCCAAGTTACCAGCCTGAAGTTTAAGACTCCCTACATTGGGTTTCCCTCCCTCTCATCAAGCATTAGACCTGGGGCTCTGCGCATTAGCCTCCAGCATCCAGTCCTATTGAGTAGCACACCATCCTCTGCTGTAATTGTTACTTGAGTCCACGACAGGCAACAAGAGATGAGGAGGTAGATAAAACATTCATTCATGATAGAAAAGTACTCTTAGAAAAAGCTGGACCAGAGAGGGCTCCTGCACCCACTTCAGCTCTGCCCTTCCCCACAGCTGCCAGTTCTGAAGAGACTTGGGACATGCTCAGGGTAAGTCAGATAAGGACTCTGGGCCACTCCTCGTCCCCATGGTACTTGTGTTGTCCTTGCTCAGAGCAAGACAACGCTGCTGTATCAGCTACAGCACTGAGCTATACCTCCTGCCTATGCTGGGCTGGCACAGGGGCTCTGAACCCAGCTCCTGCCTTAGCTGCAATAAGGGAAGCTCAGCTCACTGACCTGTGTGAGCTGATGGAAACAAACCCCAGCTGAGAGCCAGGGTCAGGCAGAAGCTCTGGGCATACTGGTGTCAACACCACCCTAAGGATAAGCAATCCCATGCAGTTGTTTGCTCCCGAGCCTCCTTTTGGGGGAATTTTAACATCTTCCACCCTCGAACCATTCAGATAGAGAAGGGATAAACAGCTCAGAGCTGCAGAAGTGCCACTGAACCCTTGCAGGAGCAGCTCCCCAGCACTACAGCAATCAAGTCAGCACATGTCCCATGTCCTCCTGGGAGTCACCCTGAGCCACCAACCCTATTGATACATGGAGAAGGGAGCTCTGCAGCAGCTCAGGTGTGTTCAGATCACCCCAGTTCTCTGCCTGGGAGGAGAGAGGGTCAGGGAGTACCTAGAGGGGAGCTGTGTGGCTGACTCTATGGTTTAAAGTGCAGGAGAGTTACTAAAGCCAAAGGAAGCCAGCCCTCGTCCTCTCTACGGCAAAGAGTGCTGTAAGTTCAGGGCATTTCTCCAGCTGCTCAACAGGTCCTTACCGTATCTATGGGCTGCCCAGTCACCTCCTTGATCCTTGCCCTACAACTACTGCATTTAAATACCCCAACATAACCTAGTTTGTTACAAAACGTAATGTACAGCACGAGGGGAAGCGCTGCTCCCGTGCCGCAGGAGCTGGAGCAGAGGAGGGGCAGCGCTCCCTGGCAGTCACTGGTGCAGATGGGCCCTGTCGTCCGGGCGCTTGATGTGAATCCTCCGCACCCGCTCGATGCGCTCCCGCTCCTCGTCCTCCTCCAGGTGATGGGAGCGCCCTGCAGCCCCCCCCGTGGCCTCCAGCAGGGCATTGTCGGGTCCCCTCCCGTCCTGGGACTCGTAGAGCAGGATGTTCAGCGTCTCCTCGTAGATGCGGGCTTCCGGGAACTCCACCTGCCCACCCCGCAAAGAGAGCATCACTCGCACCCGCTGCAGGCACCAGGCACCTTCAGCTTTAATCCCTGGTACCTTTCTGGTTTTAAAGCCTCTTCACTGCACCCTGGGCACGGGAATCTTTTCCAGTGCAATCGTTTCTGTTCCGTTACTGGCTTCTGAGCCAGCAAACGGGGCTGTTTTCAGAGCAGGCCTGCCCACAGGGAAGGTAAAGCAGCAGCATGGGGAAGTGACATCACTGCTCACCAGGATCTGTCTTTGCACAGGGATGTCAACCAAACCTTGCTAAATGCACAAGTTTGCCTGCAGATAAAGATCTGGACCGAACCTGCGCTATGGGATACCACAGTCACCCTGTGTAAGTGCCACAGGGAAGCAGCGTCCATCCTAATGCACCCCCTGGATCAGCACCACTTTGAATGGCACTGATTATTCTGCAGAGATGCTCAACAAAGAAAGGAGTGTTCAGAGCAGAGCACACAACTAAGATGATTAAGGGAGTGGAGCATCTCCCTTATGAGGAAAGACTGAGGGAGCTGGGTCTCTATAGTTTGGAGGAGATTGAGGGGTGACCTTATTAGTGTATATAAATACATAAAGGGGGAGTGTCACGAGGATGGAGCCACGCTCTTCTCAGTGGCAAACAATGATAGGACAAGGGGCAATGGGTACAAACTGGAACACAAGAGGTTCCACTTAAACCTGAGAAGAAACTTCTTCTCAGTGAGGGTGACGGAACACTGGAACAGGCTGCCCAGGGAGGTTGTGGAGTCTCCTTCTCTGGAGACATTCAAGACCCGCCTGGACACGTTCCTGTGTAACCTTATCTAGGTGTTCCTGCTCCGGCAGGGGGATTGGACTGGATGATCTTCTGAGGTCCCTTCCAATCTCTAACATACTGTGATACACGTCAGGACGCTGCTGCCAGCAGCCCCTTGCCGGAAGCATCCAGGGCTTTGCTCTTACCTTTGTCTGTTTCTTCTCAGTAGCATAGACAATGGAAGTGCAGCAGACTTCGGCGATCTTCCGCCCCTGCCCGTAGAAAGACCAGCAGCAGATCTCATCTCCAATCACGTCCTTTATGAAGAGCACCCTCCCATTAAACCGCAAGGACAGCTTGTCAAAGAGCTCGATGTTCTTCAGCATGTTGTCATCGGAGTTGCTGCGAGGGATGAAGGCAGATGCTGGTCATGTCAAGGGAATGAAGGCAGCACACAGAACACAACGGGGTTCAGGCAGTGAGCAGTTACAGGCTGTAAGCCCAGTTCCCTTCAACTCACCACGCATGTCTCTGCCAAGGCAGTGCTTACAGCTGGTATCCAGCCCTGCAGTGGGTAACTTATTTATCCACTTTAGCACAAGCAGGAAAACCTGCTGCTGAAGAAGCAGGAATACATCAGCAGTACTGGGAATAACATTGCCCAGGACCATTTAATTGGTGTAAAGAATCGTATCACTCAAATAAAGCCAATCCTAAGCTCAAGTTCGGCACCAGCTGGATGGAAACAGCGCTGTATCATGGAACACACAGAATAAGGAAAGGAGACAAGGTCCCAGCCTTGATTTTACCACTTACTGAGAACACTGCAGCAAGAAAGCTTCCTGCATTCAAAGAACGTGCTGCAGCCCATGGGGAATGCAGGCCAGCAGCTGGCCAGGAGCCTCTGCCAGCTGCACTGAAGTAGGAGAGGAACCCTCTGGCACAGAAATAACCTTCCATTGATGACAGCAAGCTCCCTTCTGACTGAAGGTTGAAATTAATAGGGAAAAACCTGAGTGCATGCCAGCTGCAATCTGTCATTGGTTCCGAGTGAAGAGAAAGCAAATGCTTGTCATGGGTTTTAGTATATTAAAACTTCAAACAAGTCCAGCAGAAGCCACTTACCTGGTGTAGGAATATTTGTTGTTGCTTCTGTTATACAGCAGCTTCACTGCTGGCTGTAAAACACAAACCATGGATCAATTACAGGCAGTAGAGGAAGAGCTGGAATGCCAGCCCAGACCCCACAGCAGAGAAGCTGCAATAGGATGTGACACCATCAGGCCCAAGCCCAGTTGTTACTGTTGTTGGTGCACAACTGCCATGCACAGGTAGGCAGTAGGGCTGCAAGCCCTCTGTGACTACATCACTGTTGGCTCTCACCCTCCCAAGCGAGGACGCAGCCTGGCTCGTACCTTGTTGGAAGTGGCTATAAGTTTTTGCTCTTCTTTGGAGGACGTGATGACTGGTACCTTGCAGAATGGTTCATATGCATCTTTGTTCTGCTGAAACAAGAAGTAAAAGCAGCTGAACTTAAACAGACCTTAAGGCATGTTCCTATGAACTGGGAAGGTCCTGTGTGTTCTGTGCTGAAGATGTCAGTGTGCTTGTGCTGATGGCTGATCATTTTGCCATGTAAGACCCTGATGGCAGTGAAGAACAGTGCAAAGGAAGCAGGCTGCTGCTCTCTGAATGCTCTCAGAGGAGGGAACTAAGCAGCTCTTTATCCCTGTGAGTGGGAATGACTCAGGACATCCGCCTGGATGGGAGCAGTCTCCAGCAGATCAACAACGTGAACTATTTCCATTCCATCCCAGCCTCAAAAAGGCACCAGGTGGAGACCAGCAGAGAATCGCGCTCTGCTCAGATGCTGCCTCCTCTTGTGGACCCCTCGCTGCAGCCACAGGAACCCCCTCAGCTCTGTGACCTACCTGCAGGGCTGCTTGGCACTCGTCCACCAGCCCCTGCACCAGGTAGTACTTTGCTTCAGCCAAGAGCTCCTCGATCTCCCTGCGGCTCTCCGGCAGCGGCACAGCCCCGTCCCGCAGGTAGTTCAGGATGGTCCCAAAGTGTTTGCCACAGCGGTCGATGAGGATCCAGCCTGGGGACAGAGGAAGGGCACAGTAAGGAGAAGCAGAGGCAAACATGGCAAAAGGCCTTGACACCTGCACCGAGCAGGTTCCTGCCGAGAGGGAGAAACTCCAGCTCCTTGCTTGAGCTGATGAGCGGAGCAGCAGAGAGCCCAGGGAATACACTGCTCCTCCTGCATTTCCAGTGCAGGGTATGTGGGAGTAAGGTGGGAAGTTCGCTTGTTTCTCATAGCTCTCCAGTTACTGACAATAATTAACTGAAACAGAGGAACAAATACTTCTCATTCTCAAACCAACCTCTGTTCTCCCTCTATCCCAAAGCCCTGACACGTTATTTTCTTGCCTTCTATCTTAGGGCCCTGTGACACACATGAGGCTGTTCCTTACTAAAGTAAAGCCAGCTAGCCTTGACCATCTAAAGCTTCTTGCACCTGAAAACAGCACAAGAACCCCCCTGTGATCCAGTAGATGTGCAAGAAGGTTGGCAAGAGACAGGCCGTGCAGATTGGGCAGCGTCATGGCAAACACTGCATACCCCTAAAGCGCATTGACTTGGTAACACATGGGTTATCAGCACACCATCAACTGCTGCAAGACACGATGCAGCAGCATAAGTGGAATCTGAAGTACGTGCTGACAATGGTGTGAAGGAAAGGAGACAGAGCTGCAACCAAAGTCCTTCTCAGTTCACCGGTGACACAGGAGCTGAGCTTCGCCTCTTGTTCCCCGTCTGCCGCCCGACCAGGCTGGACCCTGAGCAATGGGAGGCGATGCTGAGGCTCCAGTTTCCATAAATGAACAGATGGCCTCTCTTCCAGGCTGCAGCTCAGGAATGCAGCGAGGAAACGCTTGTGGGGAAAGACTCATATTTTGGACAAATAAGGAAAGTAGGTTAAAGCAGCCCCTGTGTGTTCTGCATGAATGGAATCGCTGGTAAAGGCTGAACATTTGGTGCAACTGGAAAGGGAACGTGGCCCTTTGCTGTGGAGAACTGAGGCACTCAACAGCAGTTTACTACAGGCTTTCCATCTCCATCATCGTGCTGCTACATAAAGCACAGCGTGCTTGCAATTGCAGACTAGAAAGCTGGAAGCAGAACTAGAGACAGAAATCAAGTTCTAAGAGACTGATCCAGGCTATACCTGGCCAACCAGAGCAGGAACAGCTCATTTGTCAGTGCAGAGGTATAGAAAGTGAGATTTCCCATTTTAAGGAAAAGAGGGAGCTCCAGACATGCTAATAACCAAGGACATCCCATTCCACAGCTGCAGCGGTGACAGAGTTGACTCGAGTACATCAACGTGCAGGAAGGCAATGGGCAGGGCAGGAGCACAGTTCTGATCCCCAAACATCTCTGTTATCTCCACTGTGATTCCCTTTGTAGGCTGTAAAAGTCTGCTGCAGCTTTCTGTTTATAGATGGTGAAACCACGGAGGAACTGCTCATTTTCATCTGGAGATGAGAGAACACTTCAAGCAGCATTGCAAGATACAAGGGACGGCTCAAGCCCTCCTGTTTTAACCAAACAGCCAAAGCACAAGGACTCACAGGGAAATGACCCCGTGCCACTCAGTCACGGCTGTGCACAGCCCAAGAAGTGGGTTTCAGTTGGAGTCCTTTGAAGCTATTTTAATGGCAGCATTACAGAAGTGTCCTGTGATCCATTCACCGAGGGAGGAACCCCTGAACCTCCTCACAGTAGGAAATACATCTCTTGTTTTACAACGAGTCTCAGGGACAGCATCCTGGAACCTGAGACTCGTTGGAACCAGGCTGTATTTTCTGGCTAAGCTTTGACAGATGAAACAGCATCCTGACACTGAAGCCTCACACTGGAGCCTGCCTGATGCTCAATTCTTACTGGTACCTGGATAAGAACACGCACCTCCATCAGTTGATTAATAGCTAAGCGAGGGGAACAGCCACACTGCAGAAAAGAAACCTGGAAAGAGATGGATGCACCTGGAAAACTTACCCCCTTCTCTCTGCTCCTTACCATAAGATGGTCAAATATGACAATGTGCCACAGCTCATGGGCCATTTCTAAGCTGCAAACACTCGCCCACCACCAGAGAGAACTCAAAGTCTTTCCTGTCTCCCAGTTGCAGTTGTTAAGCTCTGAGATGGTGCTGGGCTCAGGAGAATGCATTTGAACCTCATGACCCGTTCCAGAGGCTGGCTTAACACTTGCCTCCTTCCAGCTTCCCCAGCCTTTTTCCTCAGAACCACTTTGTTTGGGCCAGCCTCTGGGTGTGACCAACAGGGGGTGTTTTGAAGGAGTTCAGATTACAAGGGTTTCCTTTAACAGCTCCGATACCATTGTCCCAGTTCCCAGTGTCACACCAGGCCCGGGGAGATAAAGCAAGATCCGCTGCAATGGGAGTGTCTCAGTTACAACAGACAGGAAGTATCAAATTCCTATTAAAACACAGACTGGCAGAATGGAGCAATCCCACACGGACACTGAGGGATCCAGAGCAAAATCAACCTGGGCTTTGCTGCCTTGAGTCTGAGATTTTAGCACATTAAACTCCAGCTTCCCTCACATCAGCAATGGTTCTGTCAGCTGCTCTCCAGCAAACCAACCTGCGCTTACAGCCTTGGGAATGGGATGGGAAGTACCAGCCCTCCTGTGGTACCTGCCCAGGATGCCCAGAGGAAGGGCTGGGACCAGGCCAGGGTGGGCTTCCACAATTCACTTGGAATTTCCGATCCCCTTCCAAACTGCAGGGCTTGGCAAGTCCCAGATTAGTGCCTGGGGTTGAGCAGCAAGGGGAGAGGTCCCCAGTGATCCACTCATCATTACAGACAAGGTATCCAAGCCCATCAGCACATAGAGAACGCTGTGCTTCCAGTTAAACTGTGACACTCCCTCAACGTGAGAACGCTGATCTGAACCTCTGCTCCCCGCTGCACTCATCACACACACGTTTTAGCTACAGCATTAACTTAAATGTTCTCAAGAATCTCGGATCATCAGAAGATAAAATCAATGTATCTGGTTCGGGCACTGCTTCTTGAGAAGGCTGTTGTTTGACATCCTGCACATTCCTTCTTTCCAGACACATTTAACATGGAGAGACCCATTCGCCAGCTCTCTGATTGTCACTAGTATAATAGCAAGTTTCTGGCTCTGTTACACTGAAGGAAACAATCCGTACTCCCATAAGAAAACCATTTCATTTCCAAAGTATCAGCTTTTAGCTTCTAAACTAGGGTCCCAGTGTTCAGAGCACATTTTATACTTAGATTTGAGGTAAGGAAACGAGATAAGAGAACTGCCTCCTGGGCTTCAGCGTAAATACCCAAGCTCTGACTCACTCACAGTTTCTTAATCTCTATCCCACCATCTTCCATACACTTGAGAGCTTCAGTGTTAGTGTTCTAAAAGCACAGCTCATACTATCTGGGCCTGACAGGAGCCTTGGGACTTGGTACTGTCCTTCTGCTGTCCAGACAACTATTCAACTCATAGAATCCCAGACTGGTTTGGGTTGGAAGGGACCTTATAGCTCATCTGGCTCCAACCCCTGCCATGGGCAGGGACCCCTTCCACTGGAGCAGCTTGCTCCAACCCCTGTGTCCAACCTGGCTCCAAGCCCCTGTGTCCAACCTGGCCTTGAGCACTGCCAGGGATGGGGCAGCCACAGCTTCTCTGGGCACCCTGTGCCAGCGCCTCAGCACCCTCACAGCGAAGAGCTTCTGCCTAAGAGCTCAGCTCAGTCTCCCCTCTGGCAGGTTCAAGTCATTCCCCTTGGCCTGTCCCTACAGGCCCTTGTCCAAAGCCCCTCTCCAGGTCTCTTGTAGCCCCTTTAGGCATTGGAAGACTGTTGTAAAGTCTCCCTTTGGTCTCTGTATGACTCCTCCCAAGTCACACGAGCCTTTTGTTCCCATCTTTTCTCAGCTGTGTAAACTGAGCTTTAGCACTTACAAATCACAGAAATACCTGGGCCTACAACTCCATGTTCCTCTCCATTCTCTAATACTTTTTCCAACCTCTTCTGAGCTCTTTCCACTGCAGAGGAAGGAAACCAGCATGAGGACACGAGGGCAGTCCCTTACCTTCACTGTCGGTGAGGACTTCCATCCGGCCACTGAACATGGCCTTGAGCATGGTGTCCTGCTTGGTCAGGGTCTGCATGGTGGTGTAGTAGAGGGCACCACCAATGTTGAGCTTCACATACTTGGAGCTGGGGCTGGTGCCTTTGAAGGAGGTGGTGCGAGTGGCCGCTGCTGGCACTGCTGAGCTCACCACGCTTTCTCCCGACATCTCTTCCTGCAAGGAAGCAGCGACCGGTTACACGGGCAGCCCCGACACACAACACCCCGCTCATGTCACTGGGGGTTATTTACACAGAGCACTCACAGACGGGCTGGGCATCATCAGCCTCAGCTCCTCTCTGTGAAGTCCTCAAGCATTTTAGACTTGATCTTCATTCTGACAGTGATACAGACCAGCCAAAGACCATAAATGCCCCTGGCCAGTGAGGAACCCTGTGAACACTGAGCAGCATTTCACCCCGCAACAGCCAGTGCTTTCCCACAAAGACTGTGTTCATTTCTTTCACAGCTTCTACAGCTTAAGCTCTTCCTTTGCCAATCATCTGGTAACTGAGCAATTCCCAACACCCAGAGCTTGCGTGGATGATTCCTGTGCGTTAAAACACAGCCTAGCCACAGCCTTCCTGAGGCTTTATCCCCTTAAAGCACACACGGGCTTCCCACTCCCTTCCCTCCTTGGGACACCAAAACCCAATGTCCCACGTCCCCACTGCCTCTGCCCACAGTTCCCAGTCACTCCTGGTTAGGCAGCTAATGAGCTCATGGGCTGTAACAGGAGCACTTTGGCTTAGCCCTACAAATGCTCTGAGAGCCGCTAACCATAAATCCTTAATCAAGCCATTAACTGTTAATGGTTCTGGTGTCAGGGTGCGGGGGTGATGGACACCTGAAGGCAGCCCCAGGTCCTGCCACCTCCGGAGCACGCTGCCTGCCCGCACCGAGTGGTTTTGGCTCTGCTGTCACTAAAAGCAGAACGATCCCATAGCAAACGTGACAGAGCCGCAGCTCCGTGGGCGCCTTGTGCTTCACACGGCGAGGAAGCGGCATGGGCAGAGGTGCCCACAGGGGACCGTTCCCTCTGGAGCCGCCTGCAGTGCCGAGGCACCTCCTCAGCGCCATGCTCCGGCTCCAGCTCTCTCCAGCCATAGGGACTGGTTCCCATCACCCTGACAGGAGCCATGCCCACGGGGGACCCAGCACACCAGGCCACAGCCCAGGCCCCTGGGGCACAGAGCCCCCATCCCTGCCCTCCCCAAGCCCCAGGCGCCATCCTGGGGTGACAATGACATCCATACCAGCCCCCCCATAATGCTGGGGGCCCGATCCCCCCCACAGCAGCGCTGCACCCGCTCTCCAAGCGCCCCAACTTCGGGGGCTGGACCCCTCTCATAACCCAGCAGCGCGCCCCTGGGGACTGAGACCCCCGTACCCCGTCACTCACCGGGGGCCGGGTCCCCAGCTCCTGCCTCCCCCCAACCCGCCCCCCCCCCGCTCCGATCGCAGCCTCCGGGACCCCCTCCCCCCCACGCCCGGTGCCCTCGGCCCCGGTCCCCCCTCACCATGAACAGCGCAGCGCAGCCCCACGGACCGAGCGAGCGGGAGCGCCGGGGCGGGGGAACTTCCGCCCCTCACGCCACTTCCGCCCCCGCCCGGGTGCGCTGCCAAACCCTTCCGATGTCCCCTCAGCCTCCTCCGGGCGGCGCCGCGCTGCGCTCCCTCCTCACGGGCTTGGCCCGGCCCGGCCCGGCCCGGCTCGGCTCGGCTCGGCTCGGCTCGCCCCGCATCAGCGAGACTCAGAGCCGCGGGTTTCCCTGCGTGGAGCTGGAGGGTGAGCGAGGGAGCGAGAGAGCGGAACGAAAGCGGCGGGGCGGGTTGCCGGGCGGACCCGCAGCGCGGATACAGGGGGAGGCTGCCGGGCAACGGGGCGCTGGGCCTCGGCCTGTGGCGGCGGAGCTGCCCCGGCCCTGCCGGTGCCCGCGGCGGGGCGAGGTGAGGCCTGCGGGGCTGCGAGAGGGGCCTTGGGGCTGGGGGGGGGGGTGTCTCTGCTCTGCGGGTGGCTTGGGCAGGGTCTGTGCGTTGGAGCCCGGCTGTGGGTGGCTCATGGGTCCTGTGCCGGCTGTGGGAAGCCCTCGGTGTGGGTGGCTGCTGATCGGGTCTCGCCGGTTCCAGGGCCCTGCCATGCTTTAGGCTTCTGGTATACATCAAATGAGCTTCCTCACCTTAAGCGTGAGGAGCGGCCCGTGCCGGGGACCACAGTGAGCGGTGCTGCGTCTCTGCTGAAGCCTTTCTGGCTTCACGTTCTCTTGAGGGTGTATTTAGTGATGAGTCCGGTCAGGAGGGCTTGGATCTGCAAAGGTAAAGCCTAAACCCCCGAATCACCCACAGGTGATGCCCCTCTCTGGGCAGGAGCTACCCGAGGCCAGCGGGTGAGCACCATGTTTGTGTGTAAATGATTGCCATACAGCTCCTGTGAAGGGGTAAGCCCTCAGGTGAGTTTGTTGTTGAGGATTTATGGTGGGTTGGGTGGCAATAAAGGAACTTCCAAGCATCTCCTGTGCCTTTTCCCTCGTATCCTTGCCTATAGAATTATAGAATATAGTTCTTGCTTATAGAACTGTGCTTGTCTTTTGTCTCTAAAGAGGAAAATGAAAGCAGCTAAGACCAGAAAGAGGAGTTGCAGTGGAAGGAGTGGAGCACAATGACAACACACTGAGCATTTGTTCGATTTCTCTTAAAATCTGCTTCTCTGCATTATGTTGTGGGCTTTGCTGTAGTGCTTCTGATCTCGTTGTCTGTGTGTTGCTGCAGTCCCATTGCCAAGTAACTGTGGCTTTCCAGGCTGTGCACTGCACACATCGCTCTCTGTGCCGCTGGGTTCTCCCCTTCCCCCACTTTGGTGTGGGCTGCCGACCGTTCAGGAGGAACATGAAGGATTCCCCCTGCCTGTGTGTTTTGTGCCCCCTGCTCCTTGTTCCCAGGTGTTTGCTGCAGTGATCCTCTGCTCCCTTGGTCCCAGGTGATGAACATGTTCAGTGCGAGCCAGTCCTCCAAAGCCCAGTTCCTCGACAAAGCGCGCCAGGCCCGGGAGGAGCGGCGGGAGCTGAAGGAGCGTGAACGTGCTGCAGTGCTGCTGCAGGCGCTGGTCAGGAGGTTCCTCTGCCGATGCCGCCTGCAGAGGGAGATAAGGTGTGTGGAATCCTCCCTTGGCTCCTGCCTGGAGAGGTCTGCTGGGTTTTCACCTTCTGATCCTCCTTATTCCCCTCTTTGGTAGGAGAGAAGTGGAGGATTTCTTTGGGACAAATGAATCTGGCTCAAGTAAAAGGAGTGCTCTTTCCATCTTCAGAATTGCTAGGAAACTGCTGTTTATATTTAACCACAAAGAGGACAAAGAGGTAAGGTGACTATGTGCTTTTCTTTTGAGAACACATTTTAACATGGCAACTATGGTTAATTAGTTTCCTAGTGATCATGTAGGTTCCTGTGTTGTGTTTTGGCTTCAGAAACGTGATCTCTGTCTCCTGGTCCTTCTGGGCAAGATCTGAATGAAACACAAGAAGCCTTGAATTTTTCAGGAGCAGTTCCCTGTTCAGGGTGTAGTTTAACGGATGCTGCTCCTGGTGACTGTGCCAACCTCAGTAACTGAGCAGCTTCCTGACTTTGTCAGCTGCATCAGCCCCCCAGGCAGGTGCGCTGTGGCCAGTCACAGATTGCTCTCCTGGCACAGTGCAATGCGTTGGCTGTTTGTATTGCAGCTGCTTTTCTGACCATGCCCTCAACTGTGGTTTCTTAGTGAAGCCCTTTGCCATAGTGTCTATGAAATAATGATGAGGGCAATTATAAGGCAAACAATTGGAAAAGGAAAGGCTGTAGTTAAATTGCAGCTGCAGTGGGTGACGCCTTTAATCTCAGTTCCCTCAAACTCTTCTGTTGATGGGGCAAGTGCTGCAAATGCACTTTTCTGTATGTACAGTGCCAAAAAGAGGTGTGTGTGTTACACAACTCTTTTAATGCCTGGCATCCATCTGCATTTCTTCGTACAGTAATTGGGTGTGTTGCTGGAAAGTTCCTGCTCTGCTTCCTCTTCTTCTTCCCCTTCCACCATCAAGTCAGTCCTTGGTGGGCTGAGGACTAGACCATGCTCATTCCCACTCGTATTTCTGGACTGTGCTCTTGCTTCAGATCACCACAGCAGCCAAATTTGTGGCTCAGAATGGCTTTATAACTTGTGAGCACCTGGCAAATACAGTTGGACTGAAATAATCCTTAAGGAGCTGGCGGTGTGATCGCCGAGTTCTGCTCAGAGCTGTGATGGTCAGGAGTTTGGAACACACTGCTGCACTCATTAGCATTAAGTTGTAGCTGAACCCCAACAGGAAGATGCTTTTCCTGCCATCAGCCCATGCTGTTGGGGTGAAGCAGTTTAACAGGGATGGCTGAGACATTCCTCCTGTTAATGAGCACCATGTTCAAGGAGGGAGCTCCTCTGCTTAGCTGTAAGCGTGACATGCAGATGTGCTCTTGGGGAAGGAGTAGGGAACGTGTTTGGAATATTTGTTAGTTTGATACAGATGTATCTGACTCCCTCTGCTGAGCTCTTCCTTGTGCTTTTCCAGAGTACCCCATCCTGTAGTTAGAACTAATGGCACTTGTTTTTTCCCCCAGAGATTTGAAAAGCTGTGTCGTTGTATTCTTAACAGTATGGATGCTGAGAATGAGCCCAAGGTCAGCAGGATGGGATTTGGTTGGGGGTGGGAGGGTTGTTTGGGTTTTCTAAATTCTGTGTGTGGGGATTTAGTGATTTTCAGTGAATTTTGGGGATAGAAATAACTTGCTCCTGCTGCTGGGTTCAGCAGGACACTGAGGAGGTTGCTTTTTTTTACAAAGCTTCCAAAGTAATGTTTCTGTCAGTCTGTAGCACAAATATTAATGTTGCCCTCATTTGTATTCTGCCTTCCTCAGGTGTGGTATGTGTCCCTGGCGCTCTCCAAGGATCTTACACTCCTATGGATCAAACAGATCAAAGACATTTTGTGGTTTTGCTGTGAATTTCTCAAGCAGCTTAAGGTAAGAAAGATTTTCTCTGTGTTTTGCACCCTGCATGTCACAGGTCTGTAGTTTGGCCCAAAGCTCATTTGATTTGTTAACACCGGTGTTTGTTATTGCAGCCTGACATCCTACAAGACTCCAGACTGGTCAATTTGCACCTCACAATGCTTGTCACCTTCACAGACACTTCCACATGGAAAATCCTTCGGGGAAAAGGTTGGTGCATCCAATTCAGTACTTTCAAGTCACTGATTTGGGACTTGCTATTAAAATCTACCAAATGCTGTTTGTGCACCTTGTCTTCTCCCTATGCTTGCTGCAAAGATTCATAGTGCTTCTTGCACAAAGCACAGAATGAACACCAATGATTCCCTGGGGATTAGACAGGCTGTTTCCCTTAGAACAGCAACAGTTGTTACAACATTTTTATAATGCTTCAAAATCCCACACATGAGGAGTGTTCAAAGGATGCTGGAATGTGCTTAGCACTGGAGGTTTGTAGGAAATGCACTTAGAAAAGGTAGACAGATATTGTGAGGATGTGAGACTCTTGCACCTTAAGACTTGATGTGAAATGTTGCTGAAATGGTGGGTTTGCATATAAGGGACTTTGTGCAAGAAGGACTTATGGGCTGATAAACTGTTTTAGAGTGTGTAAGGAAGTGAAGAGTGGGGCTGTGATGCCAGTTTAGTAACATCAGTGCTTTAACCCGTAAGGTGAAACCCTGAGGCCTGCCATGAACCACATCTGTGCAAACATCATGGGACATCTGAATCAGAAGGGATTTTACTCCGTGCTGCAGGTCAGTCTTGGGCTGATACAGTTCTGTCTTCTCTTCATGCAGAACAAGCCCCAGTCCTGTGCCGTGGTCCTAGTTCTGAGGAAGCTTTTATAATCTCTATGGTGGTGTGTTCTGCTTGTGGAGCACTGGTAATTTGTGTGTGGTCAGTGTTCTTTGAAGCAGTAAAGCAGAGTCTTTGCACTTGAAACAAATGCGCTGTCTCCTTTTTGCCACTGCTGCTGAATCTGACTCCTGCTTAATCACCTCTAATGACACAGGCAGGAAGGAGTCTTGAATATTGTCCCCAACTTTGCTGCTGCCATGTTGCATGGATTTGGGTTATTTACTGTTCTGCTGGGGAAAGGAGCTGATGGCATTTTTATTCATCTTTTAAATGAGAATTATGCTACCAAGCAGCTGTGAGCCCTGCCTGCTCATTTTTAAAGGCCTGGAGACCCTCTGAGTACAGGTCCTAGAGAAATAAGTACTGTAGAGTGTGTCATTCCATTGCATTGTCTCTGTTCTGCTATTGCTAACCTGAAGCTCTTTTAGTTCTGCCAAATGACTTGTAATAACGAGGGGTTTGGGTCGTTTTGGTGGTGTTCTTTTTCTCTGGTCTAAAAATGTCTTTCAGAAGTAATCATAATTTCTTTTTGCTGAGGGGGTTTGTGCGGTTTTTAATTACTTTTATTATTTTAATTTCCAGATTTTGCTGACTAATGGCTTGGCAAGATCCAGACCTTCCCTGTCCAAAGGCTCTTTAACTGCTGTCTTCTCTCTTGCACTGCGGTAAGGCAGCTGGAGCAGCTTGGGATGATGTGCAGCCAAAGCTGTCTTTCTTGTGCTTTTGAAACACTTCTCACTGCTTGGTCAGGTTACTTGCACTGAAGTATTTGTCTCTCTGTAGCCCTGTGGTCGCTGCACAGTTTTCAGACAACCTCCTGAGGTCATTTCTGATCCATATCATGTCTGTGCCTGCTATAATGACTCATCTTGCTACTCTAACACCTGAGGTAAGTGGGTGATGTAATAGCACCCAAACTCTACTGAATGTCACATAGGGTCACTTGTCGTTCCAATTTATCAGCTCTTGGAAGAGAGCACTGGCATTTCCTGTTTGCCAGTTTCAGCTCTCTGCTGTGGAAGCGCTTGATCCCTAAATGCTCCAGGTAACTTCTGTGGTGTTAGAAACCCAAAGTTATTGATGCCAGTGGGTGATGGGCTGAGCTGCCCAAAACCAGATAAATGAATAAAATAAGGCACGTTTTGTGCCACAGGGGTATTCTGTAGACAGTTTCAAATGTCTGTCTACAACAAGAACATAGCCTGTTCACCTGCAGAGTGTTTTGTTTTCTAGACCAGCTTCATGTCAAACACTCCCTTCAGTGCCACAGGCTCATCTTGCTGCTGTCTTTGGAAAGAAAGGACAGTCCAACTTGCTGATGGCAGATGAGGTGTGGTTGTATGTGGTGCTTCTCAGCCTCACTGGCACTTAAATCCTGTCTTCCAGCGTCTGGTGGTGATAGAATCCCATGAGCTTTTCCGCAAGTTCATCCTCTTTTTAAGTCGGGAAGCACAATGCCAAGATGTCTGCGTGTGCTTAGAGGGGAGTCACACTCTGTGTTTGTTAGGTAAGCACCTTAACACTTCGTTTTACTGTGCTTGGAAGACAGTTTTGATTCAGATCTTTCTCCATAGGTGAGAGCTGCCTCCAAATCATCTGGGGGTTTTATCCTTATCTAAAAAGCTTCTAAATAGTAGGAGATGTTTTGGGGATATTGTAAATGTGTTTTAAGGCCCTTAGAAATGGAAGAAGGGGCAGAGACTTGCTCTTGTACACGTCATCATGCCTAAACTGTGTATTATCTCTACTAGCTTTCCACCTGGACCATGAGAAAGTCGTGTAGCGTATCAGACTTGAATCTCACTTCCCTAAGAGACATGCTACTGAACTATTTAGGTTCACATTCCTGTAAAAGTAACTAGAGGAACAGGTGTAACTCTGGAATAACCATGGATTGTAGCTTTATAGTACTTTGTAGAAGGTGTTGGTGGGATGCAGGTGACCATAGCAACATGCCACCTTAGTGGCTGATGTGTGCTGGAAATAGCTTGGCTCCTGCAGCCATTCTTCACAGAAATCCTCTCCTGGACTTGGAAAAGGGTTTGGGTTCATTTTGGCTGTTCTGTCTGTAACCTCTGTCCTGCAGCATCTGTTCCTCTTTTAAATCTTGCTGTGCTGGTCATTCCTCCAGGGAATCTTGTGTTCCTGGGCTCCTTGAATGATAAAGTTCTCGAGGAGGAGACAGCTCACTTTGTGGGTGTGCTCATTCACATGCTCTCCTACTGCCAGAAGTACGTGTCGCAAAAGAAATCCAACCTCACCCACTGGCATCCTGTTCTGGGCTGGTTTTCACAGACTGTGGATTATGGGTGAGTGAGGAGGACCTTCTGGTGATCCATGATGAAGCTTCTCTTTCTATTTTTCTTCTTCTTTTTACGCTGAAATGTGGTTTCTGTTTTGAGATGAACAGTGTGACCCTATTCAGAATAACTTCGCAGATGTTTCAGGTTATAACTGTGAAATTCTGCACAATATAAACTGCTGCATTCATACACAGAGTATGAGATTAGAAAAATCAGTTAGTATACACCCAATATACGACCTGTGTATCAGTCCTTCCTGTAAGGACCAGCTGTAGGGAGGGTGCATGCTCCATTTTGACTCTGAGCTGAATGTATCACAGTATCACTGACTGATGTTTTATTTCAGCCTGCCTTCTAACATGGCTCTCTGACTTGTCTTTCAGATTGAATGAGTCTATGCCTCTGCTGACAAAGCAACTGCAGCATCTCTGGGGAGTCCATATGATCCGCATCCTCTTCTGTGATGTGCTCAGCAAGAAATTGCTGGAGAATCAGGAAATAGCTCAGCTGCCATCACAGCCCATTTCCCCTCAGAACAGCCTTCCTATGAAGAGTGAGTTCTACAGGGCTACCTCTGTGTGTGTGTACATGTGTCTTTCTCTCTCCCAGCCTTGCAGGGCTTTGACTTCTCCAGCTTTGAGTAGTTACTTGCAGCAGCTGCTGCTGCTTAAGTGGGAATCTGATCTCCCTGGTTGTAATTCCTACTTGGAATGCCTCTGTAGCCTGGGGTGTCTCTTTGGTGCTATAAAGAATATGTACTTATTTTAGCAGGTTTTATTCTTTCTCAAGTAGCTGAGCTGCTTTCTGCATAACTTAGAACTTCCCAGGGCAAGGTGGGAGCCCAGCTTCCCAGATGAAAAGCAAGGTGAACCTGCCTCATGTTGCTAGCAGCAATGCAGAGATCTGCCAGAAAAGACCACCAAAACCTGTCTGTGGGGTGGCCCAGTCTGCCAAAATCCATTTTATTGCAGGGCTGCCAAGTGTCTGAGTGTGAGTGGGTTTGAATCGCATTCCTCATGTGCTTCTCTCTCCCCCAGATCTGTTCAAAAGAGCTTTCCAGAAGTCAGCCTCTGTCCGCAACATCCTCAAGCCTGTTGGGGGCAAGCGAGTGGACTCAGCTGAGGTGCAGAAGGTGTGCAGCATCTGTGTGCTGTACCAGACCACGCTCACAACGCTGACACAGATCCGCCTGCAGATCCTCACAGGTCAGGGCCCATCAGTGCTTTTTAAGTGACTTAAAATGGAGAGAAAAATAAAGGTTTTTCTTATTAAATTCTATTGACTTACTGGTAGTTTTATTACTGACAGCAGTTCATTGACTGCTGGGTGGAAGGCTTGTTCCATCCTGGATCATACATCTGATCAATAACATTCATCACTTCTTTATCAAGCATTAACTTTCCAGAATACAAACTGAAGCAAGTTTTCCTGTAATGAAACCTTGGTTACTCCATAGCAAACTTAAGACTGAGTCAGTGTTTTCCAGAAGCCTAGCAATATTAATCTTTCTGGTGGAAACACTGAATTGCTTTCATACATCTTGAGAACAAATTACCTGTCTTAGGAATGGATGGAGGAGGAGATAAGCACTGCTTTGGTGTAGAGTAGAGGGATAAGCACAGAGCCTTGGTTGGTTTGTGGCTGTAGTGGTGACCACAGGTACAACGTCATTCTTTGTGTTCTCATCTGTAAGATGCCTCTAATGGTAATTGGATCACAGGAATTAATCATTTTCTAAAGCTCCAAAATGACAGGAAAGGGTTTCAAATGTGCAAACTAATTGTTAAAAGCTATTTTTTTCTCTTCCCTGGGGATTGAGCATCTTCTGTTAATGGAGGCAGGCTTGGGAGCCAAATGTGATGCTTACGTTGCCAGAATTGTTGCTTTTGCAAAAGGATCTTCAAGCTCCAAGTCACGTTGGTCTCTTTGGGCCTGCATGAACAGGCTTTACTGAATATGCATTATGTTTTTCTAGGCCTCACCTACCTGGATGATCTGTTGCCCAAATTATGGGCCTTTATCTGTGAGCTGGGCCCTCAGGGTGGGTTAAAACTCTTCTTGGAGTGCTTGAATAACGATACAGAGGAATCCAAGAGGCTGCTGGCCATGCTGATGCTCTTCTGTGACTGCTCCCGCCACCTCATCACGTAGGTATCAAGCTGAGGGTGCTGTCTGCATTTGTAACATGAAGCTGTTGTGTTCCTAAAGTTTCAAGTGGAATAGTTAAGGTCTTGCTGCCTTCCCCTAGAGATAACTAGGCACTTCGATGAGTCCAGATAAGCATTGAGGGAGAATGTTACAATACTGCTGCAAGAAAGCTCCCCAGCTTATGAGCTTCTCTTTACAGCTCCTTTGCTGTCTCACTCATATACTTACCCAACAGAAAAGGATTGGAGAAGGGGTGGAAAGTTGTCCTTGCTGCTCAGTAGAAACAGTTTTCTTTGGTTGAATGATACAAATGTTTTCTTAGGGATGAGTGCATAGGTCCTTTTAACTAAGAAATAGTTGCTTTGCTTCTATCCCAGACCTTTCATGGTGTCTTCTATTAGGATCAGATACTGATCAAAATCAGTAAATAAGGGTTAGTTGTTTATGACTTTAGATCTTCATGAGTATCAGTTGTCATAGAAATAAGAGCTGCTGCTGTAGGATAATGGGCCTTTATGAAAATTTCAAAAGGGAATTCAATTTACACTCGTGCATTTGCATTTGTGTGCTCCGGTAGGATTCTGGATGACATAGAGGTCTATGAAGAGCAGATTTCGTTCAAACTGGAAGAGCTTGTTACCATCTCATCTTTCCTGAATTCCTTTGTATTTAAGATGATCTGGGATGGAATTGTAGGTAAGTTCTTGTAGTAATTTCAGGTGATGTTATTGTTAGAACAAGCGATGATAAGTTTGGAATTTGACGCTTCTGCTAATTATTACTTTGCACAAAAACCATACTGCATTGTGTGACATGAGAACATGTCCCAGTGTTTTGATGTCCAGATGCCACTGTCCTGCTTGGCACCAAATGCAGTGCACTTTTTCATTTCCAATAAGAATTTGTGTACCAGACATGATGGGTATGTTGTTTAGTGCCAGAGGCTAAGTTTAGCATCACTGGGCCATGTGTTGGGCAAGAGTAACACAGAGCTTTGCCAAACCAGAGTGGGCTTGCTCAGGTCTCTGTAGATATCTAGTGTTGACCTATTTGCTGGTATAATCTGGGTACAGCTCAGATCTAGTAATTAGATGAGAGAGTCCATTACTGTTGTGATGGCTCAGTTGGGGCTGGCTGAGGTGGCTTTGATGTGGCTTTGATGTGGCTAAGATCAAAGAAGGTGCTGTCTTCTGGGAGGCACAACATCTCCTTCAGAGAAATACACTGATGCTGGGAGTGTGGGGCAATGATGAACATGTTACTCTTGGACACTCCTGTTACCTGGGGTGCCTGGCCATTGCTGCTTTGTTCCTTCTGTTCAGAGAATGCCAGAGGGGAGACCTTGGAGCTGTTTCACTCTGTCCATGGCTGGCTCATGGTGCTGTATGAAAGGGACTGCCGCAGGCGATTTGCTCCTGAGGATCACTGGTTACGCAAGTAAGTGTCCAGCTCAAGGCATGGATCCTGCGCAGCTGTGGGCTTGTTCCACTGCACCAGCAGCCCTGTGGTGGCTGGTTTGGGATCCCTTCCTTGAAATTGGGTGCCTCTTCTTCTGCCCGTGAGATCAGGGTTAGAACACTCCTGCTATTGGGCTTCTCTTCTGTAGAATGAGGATTAGCTGCTGCTCATGGAGGGTGGTGCTTTGAAAAGTGACTCGGCACCTACCAGCTTGAGTGCCTCTTCTTAGATGTGTACACCTGAGCACTTAAGTTGTGTTTGAAGTCATTACAGGTTTCCTCTCTCTCCCACCCCCAGCTGTTTATACCACACCTGGGCATTTCCCAAGGATCTCTGAATCTGTGCCTTTCTTTGTAAAGGGACCTCAAACCCAGTGTGCTCTTCCAGGAGCTGGACAAGGACAAGAAACGAGCTCAGCTGCTCCTGCAGTACATCCCACATGTCATCCCCCACAAGAACGTGAGTGGGGCAGGGGCAGAGGATGGAGGCTAAAAAGCTGGTGGCCTGGGGTGGAAGGGATGTGTGTCTTGAGCATGTTGTGGCATGGAGCTTGTGACTTAAATGCCAGTGGAACAAAATCTTCTGCTTCCCCTCCCCAGTATACTTCCTCTAATCTGTCTTGATCTCTCATTGAGAGAGAGCTGATTTGCGTGGGCAGCTGCATAGACTCCTGCAGCAGTGAATGGTGTGGCTTTGGAGAAGAAAGCAAAGCGCCTGAGCTGAGAGATTTTTATGTGGTGATAGGAAAGGTGCTTTTGTTCTCAGTACTATCAGTACCCTGTCCCTCCCAAAGCAGAGCTTTGAGGATTTCTTGGCCCCACTGGGGAGCAAGGAGGCACGTCCCACTGTTCCTAGAGAGCAAATGGCATCATTGGGCCTTGCTGGGAGCAGGACAACCAGGAGCTAGGTCAGGAGCTGTTGCACTGCAGGGTAAGGAGCCTTGTGGATGAAGACTTACATTTGTTTTCTTCTTAAGAGGGTTCTGCTTTTCCGTAACATGGTGACAAAGGAGAAGGAGAAGCTTGGCCTGGTTGAAACCAGCTCCGCGTCCCCTCATGTCACACACATCACTATCCGCCGCTCACGTATGCTGGAGGTGAGTAACCAGGAACTTGGTCTGGCAGGAATATGGGGTGTGAGTATGTTGTTACCTCCTCCTCTGTGGCTGTTGAGGGACCCGTGCCAGTCTGTCTGCTTTTGGACGAAGTGATGTTACAGGATGATGAGCCTTAGGTCAGATCAGCTACAAACCTGGAGTTGTGACGAGGAAGAATGCTGGTCTGTTTGAGCACAGCATACAATGGCAGATGCAGATTGCTGTGGTTTGGGTGTCTCCTGTTTCTGCTGCATGCTGCGAGGGTGTTTCACGTGTCTCCCTGTGTGACTGTCCTCTGGCTCCTCTGGTCCATGTAGGATGGATACGAACAGCTACGGCAGCTTTCCCAGAATGCCATGAAGGGAGTGATCAGGGTGAAGTTTGTGAATGACCTGGGAGTCGATGAGGCTGGGATTGACCAAGATGGGGTCTTCAAAGAGTTTCTGGAAGAGATCATTAAAAAAGTGTTTGACCCTGCACTCAATCTGTTCAAGGTACGATGCAGGGCTGCAGATGCTGACCACAGTGACCCATTGCAAGCAGGAACAGGCTGGCTCACTGTGCTGTTACCTGTGTTTGTGTGCAGACAACCAGTGGTGATGAGAGGCTGTATCCATCCCCAACGTCCTACATCCACGAGAATTACCTACAGCTCTTTGAGTTCGTGGGGAAGATGCTTGGGAAGGCTGTGTATGAGGTGAGCTGAAGGTGCCATATCAGGGTATTGTCACTGTTGGTACAGCACTGTCCAGATGCAGTTCTGTGATGGTGCCTTTTGCCTTTGAGAGCATCTGTCATATGTCTGGGGAGGAGTTACTGAAGAAGTGAGTTTGAAAAGGGTAAAAGCACTGATGGTGGAGCAGTCTGGCACTTATTCAGGCATGGATTAAAAACCCATTACCCTCTTCATGTAAGGTAGTTCTTTTAAAGGAAACATGGAGTTCCCCTGTTGCCTCCTCTAATGAATGGATTTTATGAGGATCTGGGTTTTTTGGCTGATTTTGTTGTCTTGAATCTTTGCACTTGTCCCACAACACATGAAATGCCTGCAGGCCTCCAGAGATGCTGCACAGACCAGGCACACAGTGGGACCTTACTTGTGCATTCTTGTTGCCTGTAGGGAATAGTTGTGGATGTACCATTTGCTTCCTTCTTCCTGAGTCAGCTCCTTGGGCACCACCACAGTGTCTTCTACAGCTCCGTGGATGAACTTCCCTCCCTGGACTCTGAGTTCTATAAGAATCTCACCTCAATTAAGGTTTGAGCATTACTTTTCCTGTTGTTCAACTCCCTTATCCCTCACTGCTGCTAGAAATACTACATTTGCAAATGCCTTTGGGGTACTGATCATCTTTTAAACACCCTGGAAGGAGCTGGTGATGCTGAAGCAGGTTGGCAGGCGGCTGTCCTGTGTTTTTCCTGGGGCAAACAGGGATGAGAAAGGAGTCTGCAGGTGTAAACCTGGAACTGGCAGTCAGGAAGTCCCAAGTTTTAACCTCACCTCTCGTGCAGTCTCCCCATAACCTCAAGCAACTCATGTATTTGCTATGCTTTGGTGCCTTGTGCCTGCTGGAGATCACCAGAAGAGTAATAGAAGATTCAGAGTTCCTGCTGCTAAACACTGACCTTCAGCCCCTCTCTCTGTTGTTCCTCCAGCGTTACGATGGTGATATCAGTGACCTGGGCTTAACGCTGTCCTATGATGAAGATGTGATGGGTCAGGTAGGTTTTTATTCAATGACTGCTTGGGCCAGCATTCCAGACACAAAGGAGACAAACTACTACAGCTCTTAGTGTCTGCTGAGCTTCCTGAGAACTGGTTCTGAGCATCTAAAAGTCAGGCAGCCTGTCCAAGCTCGTGCTGCCCAGTGCTTTCCGCTCTGCTGCTTGTGTTTCTGAGTATGGTGGATGCTCTGTGTGGCCCATCTGAACAAGAATCCTGAGGGGATTGACTAATAAATGACCCTGTGTTTGATTGTGCTCAGGGCTGAGCTCTGTGCTCCTTTTACTCAAGAAAAGCCTGTGCTGATAAAGGCTGGCTCAGCTTCAGAGGGTCTCAGAACTCAGGCACAGGGTGCTGTGACTTGGTTCAGTATTTAGCTGTGGGCAGAGAAGAGCTATTTCCACAAAAGAGGCTGCCCTCTGGCCCCGAATTTCTCTACTGCCACAGATTTTTTCTTTCTAGTTGAAAAACATTGGTTTGTGCTTTCTGTGCATAACTGCTTTTCCCTGCTTTCAAAGAGAATAATCTCTGTGAGGAGGGAGAAATCCCTTGTCTACAAACGTAGCCCTTTCTGTCAGAGAAACTTGAATGTGTCAGGAGGTCTCTTGGCCTTAAGAAGAAAAGGCTGGTTGTGAGTCCCTTTATGAAGTCTTAAAGGTACCTGGTTGCTTGAGCCCTGGTTCTGTGATGCTATGTGTAAATGGCTGGAAAATATGGATAGGCAAAATAAAAATGCCTTTGCTGTCTGTGTGTGCTGCTGTTGCTGTAGGTTCCGTGGGGAGATGCCAGCTAGTGCTAAGCTTGGGCACTGTTAGCAGTGTAAATCCAGTGGCAGAGAGCTCAGAGACCCCCAAGTCATGGAGTGTTTATCTGGGGCAGCTTGTCCTTGAGAGCTTTGCATGCTGCAGTTGCTTATTCCTAAGCTGGTTAGTTTGGACTTAGCTTCCATCCAATAGCAATAGCAGTGTAAATGCACCTGCAAAGCTGTGAGGTTGAGTGGGAAGACAGGGAAGTTCTGATACAGCCCTGCTTTGCACAAGTGAGAGGTTGCATCCACAGCACAGTGGGCTCAACACCTCGCTGCTGCCTCAGGATTGCTGAGGTTTGAGCTTTGAGGTTTTTCCACCTGAAAAAGAAAGGTAGGAAACAGCATAGGAGAGCACAGCAGTCAAATGCTGAGTGCTGCTGCATGCAGAGCTTCGAAACAAACCAGGGCACTCCTGTTTCCCTTGTGCTTTGGCCATGCTGAGCCAAGTGGGGTAACCCTGTGGTTCCTCAATGAATTTACCTGTGCTGGGCTCCCTTCTGACCTTGAAGTCACCTGTAACTGAAGCACCAAGCCACTGTAATATATGAGTTAATGACTTCCCATCTCTTGGTGTTGGTGCAAAGATGATCCCTGACTCTGCTGCTGTACCAAGCACCAGGAGGGTCCCTGCTGTTGGCCCTGAGCTGTGCTGTTGGCTGAGCACCAGCCCTGGCCTGGCAGGGCAGGGACAAGATGCTTTCCAGCTGTCTCACTTTCTGAGTGCTCTGCTTCATGCCTTGAGTGCCCGGCTTGAGGGACAGTGGACTCCAGGGAGCTCTGTCACTCAGTGGCCCCAGATGAGACCTGTGGGGCAGACAGCTTTGGATTGTACTGTTAGATTGAGCTATGCAAAGGCTCTGAGCTTGTTCAGCCTCTGGATTCTGGGGTTGTGTCAGTGCCCCGGGGCTCTGAATCGATTTGTGTGTGGTTCAGCAGTGATGGATCAGTCTGGAGAGGAAGCTTCTTGAAGAAGGGCTGGCTGCGCTGGTGGGAGAGTTGCAGTTCCCCACTGTTCAATTACTCTGTTAATAGTTCAGTGCAACTGGTTCAAGGCAGAAGCAGAATTATTACTTACATTTTAAATTCTACTGTTTCATTGTGAAAATGAATGTTTTATGGGGAAGGAACAGCTTAGCAGGGCATTGCTTTCCATTGTGGTTCCAGGCAGTAATTAGCAATACAATCATTTCTTCCCTCAGCTTGTTTGCCATGAACTTGTTCCTGGAGGGAAGACCATTCCCGTTACCAATGAAAATAAGTAAGTACAGCAATTAGATTTTTAAGGTCACCACTGCAAAATACTTGATTCTAGTTCCTTGGGCTTGCATTTGGAATGAATTGAGATGGATTGGAGTAGAAGGAGCACATAAATATCTTAATAGAATTTCCTGGTTACAGTTCATCGGCAGAAATTGCATTAAATTTGATTTGCAAAATAAAAATTGACAATTTACTTCTCGAAACAGCACTTCTGAGGTCAAAGGCACAGAGCCTGTGAGATTCTGCAGGATTTAATGATGGTGATAGATACAGACAGATGGATTCAAAGGAATTCAGGCACACGGTCGTGAACATAGAGGGCACAGATGCTCAAAGACACCTTGGAGCAGACAGATCCTCTCGGAATGATAACATGTGGCAGTTGTATAAAGCACCCTTCTTCAGAAGAGGCAGTGGTGAATTCAAATGCAGTCGACAGTCGTACTTTGGGCACAGGAAATCAGAGGAGACACGGAGCCCTGTAGCTATTTTCACAGATAAGCGGCTTTTAGATAGTTATCGTAAATGTCAACTCCGGAGCCTGGAAACCAAACCCACCTTTTTGTTCCCTTCATTTTCTTCTTCTCTGTACCCTTCAGTGATCATAAAAGCAGGATAAAATATCTATTAAGCAGATGTGTGTTTGAACTGGTAATCTGGGGCTTGTTCGCTTTAATGGCAAGTGAAAGCTGGAGCCTACCTGAGGATTTGTCTTTTAGTCGTGCTCTGCAATTTGATGGTCCCAGTCTTCTCCATTCTTGAGCTCTGACCAGGGAGTTTGCATTTGAAAGGCTCTTTGCCTTGTCAGAAGTCAGCTCAGGGAGAAAGTTGAAAGTGTTCTGTGTTGCTCTACTCCCTTACAGCGGAAACTTTGAAGCCTTTGTGCAGATGTGCACACAAATTGGTAGTTGGGAGGGAGCAGAAGTGGTGTAAGTGGAAGCAATCTAGAAATAGGTCTCTCTCTTAACAGTGGAGGGAGGTTACCTCGCTGAAGACCCTGTCAATGTATTTTGGTGGTGTCTGCCTAGGAGCTGATAAGGATCAGCAAGCTCGGTTGTTTTGGTTGTTGGTGAGAAGAGGAAGCCTGATGGTGCCTCCCTCTAATAAACAGCACACCTCTTCCATACTCCTGGAATGAAGGTGGAAATCTCCCAAGTGGTTTTTAGTGTGTTGTTTTCTCCAGCCATAAGTTTCAGTGCAGGTGGCATCAGGGCCCAGGCAGTTGTGTTTTCAAGCCTGGAGGAGTGCCTGTCACTGGCGATCTGGTCCTTTAAAGAAGAGTTGAACACGTGCTCCCCCCATTAGCTTCTCTGGCCAAGGTTAATCAAGTGATTATTGGAGCCAGTTAGTCCCTGGGTTGGGAAGGGGCTCTAAGAAATGTGCAGGCAGTACCAGAGGCAGGGGGAGAGGGCAAAGTCTGGGCAGAACAACAGCTCTTTCTGCTTAAATGAAGAGCAGGGCCTTGGACAAGAAAGTTTAATGCATTTCCAGGCAGTCCCAGTCCCTTTTGGCTGGAGAGGCAGGTCAGCAGCCTTGTTCCTGCACTGTTGAAGTGGGTATCCCTTCACTGCACCTTCCCTGTCACACACAGGATCAGCTACATCCATCTCATGGCTCACTTCCGGATGCACACGCAGATCAAGAGCCAGACAGCAGCGCTCATCAGTGGCTTCAGGTCCATCATTAAGCCTGAGTGGATTCGGATGTTCTCTGCACCTGAGTTGCAGCGGCTCATTTCTGGTGACAACGCTGAGATCGACCTCGAGGACTTAAAGTGAGTGAGCAACTGGGTCTGCTGGTGTGGCTCAATAAACCAAACCAGTTATTAGAGCTCCATGGAGGTTTGCAGGGGACTGACCTGGTCACAACTTTTTGCTCCTTCCAGTGGAAGTCTGGGGAGTGGATAGAAACAAATAGAGCTGAAGAACATGTTTCTTAAAGCTAATTTGGACAAAGTACTAATGAACAGGGGGTTACTAATCCATGAGGGTGGTGAGACACTGGCACAGGGTGCCCAGGAAAGCTGTCACTGCCCCATCCCTGCAGTGCTGAAGGACAGGTTAGAGCAAGCTGGTCTAGTGGAAGATGTCCCTACCTGTGGCAGGGGGTAGGAACTGGGTAAGCTTTAAGGTCCTTTCCAACCCAAACCATTCCATGATCCTATTGAATGGGAAGGGTCCTTTCTTACACTGCTCCCTGAGAGCAGAATTCCTCTCTCCCTTCCCTTTTCTCTGATGAAGTGCCCAGTGTTGGTGAGGGCTCACTCCTGGCAGTGTCTGCCACAGCAGTGAACCCTGATCATGGCAGGTATTGATTCCAGTGCTTATCACCTGGCAGCTGTGACCCTCCTGCTGCAGGGGGGGTCACAAGCCTGTCACAAGCTTTCTCTCCCTAGAAAACACACGGTGTACTATGGGGGCTTCCATGGGAGTCACCGAGTCATCATCTGGCTGTGGGACATCCTGGGCAATGACTTCAGCCCTGAGGAGAGAGCCATGTTTCTCAAGGTAAACACACTCCTTTCAGCCCAACTCGTGATTTGGAGTGGTTGGGCCTGGGCAGTTCTCCAGTGAGCTGTGTGCTTTCTACACTGAGAGGCAGTGTCAAAATGCCATGTATCTGTTACAGGCAGGCTGCTCTTACTGCTGCTGGATTTCACTGCCCATCTCTCTTTCAGTTTGTTACCAGCTGCTCCAGGCCTCCACTGCTGGGCTTTGCCTACCTCAAGCCTCCGTTTTCCATCCGCTGCGTGGAAGTCTCTGATGATCAGGTAGGACCCTGCTTGCTCTTGTCTTACATGTTCTCTGCCAGGCTTCTGCAGGCCTCCTGCCCTGCCCAGCTTCCTCTTCTCTGTCTGAGCAGGAGACTCTTTAAGGCATGAAGATACATATTCTACAGGGCAACGTGAGAACAGTCTTATTCTAACATGACGCATATAGTTGTGCCTACCTCTTCCCAGATACAGCAGCACTTGGGCTCTGTTTGCCTGTCTCTAGGGTTGTGTTTTCTCCTCGAGGCCATCCTGTGCCTCTTACCACAGGGACCCTGCATGTCTAAGGGCAGTTGCAGTTACAAGAGGAGCTCCCTTCTAGGTGTTGCGGGGCACAGGGCTTCGAGATTTGCCTCTCCCTGTTCCTAGCAGACAGATTGTGTGTTAGCACCTCTGTGTGTAGGCACCCTGCTTGGAAGGAGCAGAGCAGAGCAGCACGAGGGTGATGCATTTCTGCCCTGTTCCAGGACACGGGTGACACACTGGGCAGCGTGCTGCGGGGCTTCTTCACCATCCGCAAGAAAGAGCCGGGCGGGCGCCTCCCGACCTCCTCCACGTGCTTCAACCTCCTCAAGCTCCCCAACTACAGCAAGAAGAGCATCCTGCGGGAGAAGCTGCGCTACGCCATCAGCATGAACACTGGCTTCGAGCTGTCCTAGTTGCCATGGCCCTGGACTCCGTGATGGGGACTCTCAGAGCTGCTGACTGCTGCTGGAGGTGGAGACCTTCCTGCACAGAGGCTGGATCAGCTCCACGGGAGCTGGCTGCTCACTTCGAGGGCTGGAGAGATGCAGCTGATAATAGAGGTTTACAGGGAAGAGCTGCTGGGCTAGACAGGGCTGGCTCTTTGTCGGGCACTGCTCCAGGAGGAGGGAGGTGATGGGCCTGACCCAATACACTTCACTTGACACCCACGTAAATCGTCTTTAAAAGCAAACCCTGGGGGAGCAGAAAAGGAACAGTCCAAGTGCCAGTCAGATTAGTGACCGTGATACCCCCCGGCAGCCCGTGCGGCCTGGGCAGCTGCTGCTGTGGGAGTGTTTCTTTTCCCTTTCCCAGGACATGGTCCAGTTTCTTACTGGGTGAAGTCAGCCTGGGGGAGGCTGTACAAAGGCAGAAACGTGACAGAGCCCACAGGGAGAGGAGGCTGCGGCGTTGGATGTGCCACTGTTTTACTCAGGACAGGTACTGCCCGGGGGATTCCTCATGCCCTTGCCCTGTGCAAGGCCCTTATGCGTGTCTCAGAGAGTGAACCACTTGCCCAGCCTCCAGAAGCAGCAGGTTAAACACAAGCAGATGAACCCCACCATTCTCAGGAAGGTTTCAGAGGGCTGTAGGTTAAGACCTGAAGCCGCAGGCGTGGGGTCAGCGTGCTGAGCTGCTGTGCCTCTGCCAGGCTCATGCCAGGGCCTGTGCTTTGGATGCAAGGGGTTGTCTGAGCTTGCTCAAGGAGCAGAAAAGGTTTAACTTGATTTAGTTTCCAGAGGACAGGAGCTGGCATGCAGCTCAGGCAGCCCTCACTCCCCAACGTGGTGCTCCAATGGGGCAGGTCCCCCTGTGCTCCAGGGAAGGGGAATGTGTGGAGCTGCCCAGAGCCCTCTGGAAACCACCACTGGCAAAATTCCTCGTGCTTGGATGGAAGTTTCACTTTGTGTGCAGGCCCTTTTGTTAGGGAGATGTGCTGTTCCAAACAGGACTTGGCCTCTGCGTAACAGCCGCATTTGCTTTGTTGCCAAACTATTTCTCTTGGCTGCTTTGTCTCTTTCTGGCCTTATTTTTAACACTTGGTGTTTGCCAGGAGCAGGCAGCTCTTCCAGGTGGTTCTGAAGGGCAGGGGGGGTGCAGGTGTGTGTGCTGGGAAGGTGCAGACCCTTCCTGCCATTTCTAATGCAGTCCAGAGCCTGATTTGTCAGGTGTCTGCAGCTTCCCAGCCTTGGCCCCTCGTGTTGGGGGAGAGGAGAGATTCCCTTCTCCTGGGCTGCTCTGTCCTTGCTGGTTGCTGGCACAAAGGAAAGCCATGTACATTCTGCTGTTCAGGATAGGATTACAAACCAGTCACCTTCTCCCTTTCGCCTGTTGCTGCTCACTAAGGAAACAAGCTCCCACAGAAGCTGCTGGTATTCCCCTTGGATTTCACATCCCCTCCTTACCTTCCTAAGGTAAGGTGCTGGTAACCCTCACCCTGTGCTCTGGCCCCTCTGTGCTGTGTGGACAGATGGGCTCAAAGCCTCACCACAGCCACTCCTGCATGAGGCTGACATACCCTACCTCGTTGCCTTGGTCCTTCCCACAGGGATTCACAGCCCAGGCCCACTCCATGCAGCATGGGGTTCTGCAGGGAGACGCTTCCTGGGCTCTTTGGCAGAGCCTCTGATCCATGGTTTTGTTTCACATCTCAAACAGACCAGCAAATACTTGGCGCTGTTTAACCAAGAGTATCGAGATGCCCTTTGCTTCATCTTCCTCTTCTGGCTTGCTTCAGCTGCTTTTTGGAGAGGTAACCCTGGTTTTAGAACCAATGCCTGGATGTGCATTTGGAAAGCAAAGCCAGGGTCCTTTTCTATGTCAACTTCATTACTAAACAGGAGTGATTGGAAGTGTTGGTGAGGGCAGGAATCTGTTCAGAGGGCTCGAGATCCTGGACTCCGAGTCCAAAGGAATTAATAGTACATTTGTTTTATTAACTTCACTGTTTTTAACATAGAGCATTTCAGCATGATGCAGTTGCTGACAGTGTGGTTGAGAGGGTTAGGCACTGACTTGTACCAATCTTAGCTTCAAACACCACACCAGATCCCTTCTTTTTTCCCTAGGGAAGTGCAGTGCGCCTCAATAGAGCACGATGAGCATTCACTGAAGTGAGCTGTTGAACACTGAATCTTTGCTCCCTTTTTTCCCTTCATTCCTCACGAGTATAATTCCTAGAAAAGATCTTAATGCAGACTTAGCTAGGAGCCCCTAAACCTGCAGTTACTGCACTATGAGGCACTACATCCAGTTTGTAGCTAGTGTGTAAAACAGGATTGGCTGGTAGGTGCCCTGCTGCCCGTGTGAGCAGCAGCAGCACCATTTCTCTTGTGTAGCTGCTTTCTACAACTGGCTTTGGTATGTTTGTACCCCAAGCAGAAGGCTGGGAGTGGGGACCAGCCCTGCCTGCACCGGTGGCCTTGCACAGGGGCTCCCTGTAGGGCAGGGGTGGATTTGCCACAGGAGATTAATGACTGTTCTTCCTATAGAAGACTTGTTTCTATGGGACCTTGGTTATGTCCCTTGTATCAGAAATGCAGGGAAGAGAAGAATAAACCTGGGATGAGCAAGGTGACTGGATGTCTTCTCTTCCTTGCGCTGGGTGTTCTGCTCCAGCTCAGAGCGTGGGGGGAGCAGAGATTTTAGATGCTGGGACTGGGTTTGGACAGCTGGTGAGCCACCTCTGAACCTTCACACCAAGGAATCCTCCACTCACTGGTGTGGGGAGGGACAACAGAGGTTTAGGGAATGCAGGTTTGTGGGACAAGGCTGCGCTCTGGATTTTAGAGGCTGCCCTAAGGGCCAGCCGTGGAGCTGATACAAGGCTTTGACAAGGGCCTGTAAGGACAGGCCAAGGGGAACGGCTTAAACCTGCCCAAGGGGAGGCTGAGCTGAGCTCTTAGGCAGAAGCTCTTCCCTGTGAGGGTGCTGGGGCGCTGGCACAGGGTGCCCAGAGAAGCTGTGGCTGCCCCATCCCTGGCAGTGCTCAAGGCCAGGTTGGACACAGGGGCTTGGAGCAAGCTGCTCCAGTGGAAGGGGTCCCTGCCCGTGGCAGGGGTTGGAGCTGGAGAAGCTTTAAGGTCCCTTCCAACCCAAACCATTCCATGGTTCTGTGATAACAGTAGCTTTACATTAATGACACAGGCATTGTATTTATCCTCCTGTCTGGCTCTGCAGGCATCCTTGTAGGAGTGAGGAGCTGTGCCTGCTGCTGCTGCAGCTTCCCCCCTGCTCAGGTCTGGTGCATGGCAGCACGGTCCTTCGCTGCCCGCCCTCACCATGCCCGTGGTGCTGTGCTCACTCTGGTTCCATGCCCGTGGTGCTCGGGGCCAGCCCCGTGGGGAGCGGGCGCGCGGTGAGAGCCGGGAATGGGGCTCGCAGTCAGTGTGCAAGCACCATTGTTTTGACACTGAGGCATATGGCACCGCCAGGGAGAGCAAAGGGAAGGCGCAGCAGCTGCTGCCGAGGCCGAGCTGGCAGCAGGCAGCCAGGCCTGCACCGCGCCTGCTCCCGCCTGCGCTGCCAAGGGGAAGCGTGGCCGTGGCCGGGTGCTTGGAGCATGCACGCGCTGGTGCTGAGCCAGGAGGGATGGACTGACCTTGGGGCTGGTGCTGCGATGTCCCAGCCATGGGCTCCCACCACTGCTGCAGTACAGGCAGAGCGTGCTCGGGAGCAGACGGCTCTTCTCCCTGCTCCTCTTGTGTTTTATAGACTGTCTCCATCCCCTGGTTCTCACCACCCACTGGTCTTCCCTGTTGGGCACAACCTCTTGGCCTGTGCTGGTTGGGGTTGGGATGGAGCAGGGTGTGCTGGGCTTTGGTCACCACATCCCTGAGCAGAACAAGATGAGGGATTCCTGCAGCTTGTCTTTGTGTGGGGGACCTGAGTGGGTGATGGCATGGTCAGAGCTACAGTGCCTTGGCACTGCCACTCCTGGGTTAGTGCTCCTTAACTGCCTGTTCAGAGGTGATGTTGTGGCTGTTTCTAAGGTCGAGTTCTTTGATGTTTCCCCTGGGGTGGTTTGAGCCTCTCTATGCACATCCCATGGAGCTGCTGGACCAGGGATGGGGCAAGTTCTGCCAGGCTGCAGCAGGGGCAGAACTGAGGGACTGAGAGCCCTTTCCTTGACGCAAACAGCTCAGTGTGCTGCAGGGATGGTGGCTCTTACCCTGGGGTGCTGGAACTGCCCATCCACCCTTCTCTAACCAAGTTCTTCCCCTGCTGTAGCATGAGCTGTTTGGATGGGGAGTGTTTTCCTTTGACCACTTCCAAGCAAAATGAGAATTCTGGGGGCCTGCAACTGCAGGTGGCAGATGTTGTCCCTTCCGGTCCTCCAGCTTGAGAGGAGGAATGCAGGACTGCTGCGGGCTCCCCATCACCACAGCTGGGTACCCCAAAACTTGTCCTTCAGGTGTGGGGATGGAGAGGGGCCACACACACACACTGAGTCCTCCCTTTGGTGCATGAGCAGAGGAAATGCTGCCTTGGATAAATTTCCGTATGACTTGGCAAAATGTATGTTTGTGTCATTTCTGCAAGAGCAGCAGCCGGCTCTGCTGCTTACACATCGTGGCAGTAATAGAGGTGCTTGAGTTATAGTGAAACTTATTTCATTTTACAGCTCCTACCGCGTTAACAGATGTACAGGCGTCCGATCCAATCATGCAGCAAGAGATTTTGGGGCCAGTTCTTCCAGTTTTGACAGTGTGGAAGCTAGGAGCAGCCATACATTTTACAAACAAGAGTAAACGACCCTTAGCAACATATGTCTGTGCTGGCAGCTCCAACGTAACCATAAATAAGGAACCCTGCTAGGCAGGAATGTATCTGGGCTCTGCCTACAGTCAGTGTTGGACAAAGCATCTGCCTCCCTCCCATTATATTAATGAGGTGCAGGCACTGGAATCCCTATGCCGTACGGCTGGATTTGCTGGGTGGGGACAAAGGACTTGGAAAAGCAAATGCTAATGCAGAGCACGGGAGGTTTATTTGATTTAAAGGCTCTATTTCATTTTAGTGATGCCTCATTCCTGCTTTGCTGTCTCGCCAGTTCTCTTGTGCATTACTGTAGGTGGCTCCAGGGTCATTGGCAGATGGAATCAAGATGTTTTCTTGCTGCTGCCCATAGCACTAGGTCCTGTGGTCATGCAGTTAGAATCATAGACAGGTTTTGGTTGAAAGGGACCCTAAAGCTCACCCAGCTCCAACCCCTGCCATGAGCAGGGACCCTTTCCACTGGAGCAGCTTGCTCCAAGCCCCTGTGTCCAACCTGGCCTTGAGCACTGCCAGGGATGGGGCAGCCACAGCTTCTCTGGGCACCCTGTGCCAGTGCCTCAGTACCCTCACAGGGAAGAGCTTCTGCCTAAGAGCTCATCTAAAACCCTAATATCTAATCTAAAAAGCACCAGGGTCACCCCAGCACCAGCACCACAGCATCTTTGGGTAGAAAGGGAAAGGGGGAAGCTGGGAGCTGAGTGCACCCTGATTTAATCTCTACTTCATGTTAAAGTGCAGTAGCTGAATTAATTTCTCCTTGCAATCAAAACATATACCAGCTTTGGTCCCAGTACAGTAGTGAGGTTTCCTCCCCCCAGCTGGAAAGAGAGATGCTTTAACTCCATCCCGGAGCTGATTTATAAAGCATTCATGAAGAATTTCTATTGCAAAGGATTTTATTCCATTAAACTTGAAAAGCCTCTGGATTCCTGAGGCTCAATTGTGGTCGCCGAGACAGAGCTATCATAAAACTGGATGGCCTGTCTGGAGCAGGCATTGAGGAGCTGTCTGATGTGACCCTGCAGCTGACGGTACAGTCCAAATCAAGAGCATTTGTCATTGGGATGGGGTGGAGGCTAAGGCTTGGGAAATGACTCTGCATTAACAATAGCCATGAAATATCTGTTTAAAAGAGGAGGGTGAGTGATGAGGCAGTGATGTCCATTAGTGCTGGGCATTCTTCACTCTGACCCCATGCTGATTAAAAAGTTAACACAAAAGCCAGGGACCCTTTGGGGAAGCAAAGTTTAAGGTTGTTTCTACTTAAGTAATTGAACAGAGGAACTGCACGATGGATGTGGGAGCTCCCACCACTGAAAGTGGCACCCTGAGCACAGGACAGGAGCTCTCGAGGTGTGGAATCCACCAACAGAGGTGGCACCAAGCCCCTGCTGCTCCTCACAACTCCTTTGTCTGCAAACCTCAGCAGTCCCCAGGGATAGAAGCTCAAATGGAACAAGGACTTTACCCCTTCAGCTGGTACCTGCAGCCAGAGCAGAGGATGTGACCAAACTCAGAGGGGTCTGTGTGTGCTTAAAGGGGTACCCCCACAGAGCTTGACTGCACATCACCTGCAGGGTTTATCCCTTCCTCTAATCCCCCCATCCTGCGTGGGCCCTGCTCCTGGCAGAGGATGCACTGGATTGTCAGCACGGAGATTCTTCAAGTGCATGCACAGAGGCTGCCAGAGCCAGGGAATTCTTAGTGCATTCCTGGAAATCCACACAGCTCAGCTTCAGCCAGGGCTGATGGATTGAAAGCAGCTTAAAGAAGAAAAGCACGCTGGGCTCACGAGTGAAGTATGAGTTAAGGGCCCTCTGGTACAAGTAAATTCACATTTATTACTTCAGAGCTTGTGGACAGAGTCCCTGAATCTCCACGCAGCTGCTGTGCTGCACGAGCATGGTGACTTGCAAAGAGAAGCTGATTGTTTTCTCCTCTTCATTCCTCAGCATCCTGTCAAAGCCCTTCCACAGCACCTGCACTGACGGGGCAAGGGGGACTTGTGTGGAATCAGCTCGAGTTCTGCCTCAACTCCAATGCGGGCAAAGATCAGAGTGTTGTACAAGGGGTATTTGGACAAGGCCCAGTGAATAGGGCATGTTCTGCACCGTATTTAAGAGCAATTCCTAATTATTTAAGCTGGAAGTTCTTGGCAGCTCACATTTCCAATCCAGGCTTGTTCTCCTTCCCTTCCTTGATGAGGGAAAGCACTCTGCTGGATTTAGCTTCCCATAATCAAGGAAATAAACGTTCCAGCTCCCAGTTACAGCTCAGGCTTTACATATATTTTCTCTTCCTTCCCTTCCTTCATTGCAGCGTAACGTGCCAGAACGAAGAGGTAGTCGCTCAGTCTGGAAAGCAAGGGGAAAAGCAGTGAAGCCACTTCTCACATCAGGCGTGATTGTCTCCAGCAACACCCAACTACACTCAAAGCACATCTGGTGACAGGCAAAGCACATCTGGTTACAGCAAAGCACATCTGGTTACAGCATAAGGACTGCAGGTAAAGAGACCACAGAGAAGTGATTTCCAGAACAGCCTTCAGAAAGCTGAGTGCTCCCTCAGCACCACTGCAGCAGCTGCAGACAGACAGGCCTTGCAAGAACACTTTTAACACTTCACTTCCACGATCTTATTCTGTAAGTTAGGCTTCTTGAGAGGTAAAACCCTGCAGTTTTAGCCCAAGACTTAAGGGCACAAGCCCAGGCATGCTTCAGGAATATAGAGTAAAGGCTTGGGGGGGTTTATTACCTGTTTAAGTATTTGGCCACGTTTGGATCTGCTTCCCCTGCTTGTACCAAAGGAACCACGCTAGCAAAGGAGAAGAAACACATTGAATGTATTTAACCTTTTAGCTCTGCCTGCATGAAGGACTGGAGCACCCTCCCAGCCCAGCCTCACCTGGAGTCCCCATTCTAACTCCCCGCAGACTCTGCTTCCCCAGGAGGAACCTCTGGGATAAATGATGCAAGTGCTTTTTGTAACTGCTCTGGAGGGCTGCAGCTCCACTCCTCCAAAGGATGCTCATCAGTGGGCATCGCTGGACAACAGGGAGCAGTTTCCAGGGTCATCATCCTTTTCTGCATGCGAACAGGGGTCCTTTTGTCAAGGCAACAGCCTTGTTCTTGCCTCCTGATTGGTGCACAGCCTTTTCTGACTTGCTTTTGACACTGGCTGTGATGTTGGGAGTTTTCATCTCCAACAAGGAAGGTGTGAGCAGTAACATCTCAAGCCACTAAAAGCTTCCCTGGATCCCACACCTGCCGGTGCCCCAGACTACACTTAGCAAATCAGACATGAGCTTCACAAGTAGATGCATCTCAGCATAAACCTGTCTGTTGTTTCTGAAGTCTTTAGCTCAGATGACCCAGTTCAGGGGAGGGAAAAGACTTGCTTTTTGCTGCTGGCACTCCTGGAATTTGGCTAATCCAAACACACAAAGCTTGCCTCAAGCTCCAGCTGAGCGCAGTACAGCTGATGGCTCTGACTGCACCGATTTGCTTTCATTGCAGCATTCTGATCAGCTTCTATCAGGTTTAGGCTGTTATGCCACAGCCAACACTCACCACCTTTCAGCTCTGCGGCAGACAGCTCGGGAGAAGTGGAGAGCAGCACTGCTTTTACCTCCCGACTGAAACAACAATGCAACAGCACATCAGTGTCTGCAACAGCAGGTACAGCCATCCACCCTACTGTGGAACTGCAGCAACGCTCATCACACCTCACACACATGTCAGACTGGGCCCTGTGTTATGGCCAGGCAACTGGGAGAGATACCTGCATGCAGGATGTGGACATTTAACTCAAACAGGACCTTGTGTCTGCTTTTCTTTTGGTATTTGTCCATGCAAATAACAGTCTCACAACCTCTTTTCTCAAGTCATAAAGGAGATTTGCCCTAACACCACAAACCCTTTCCAGTTGGTAAGAGGCGTAAGCAGTACTACTGGTACCTACTGGCAAGATGAAAGTTCTGAGTGGAGGAAGCTGCTCTGAGTAGCTGTCAATCCACTGCTCCAGCTCCAGAACTGGCTTCTCACTGAAAGATGTTCGTTCTACAGAGGGAAAAGAAGAATCAGCTAAGGGAACTGCAGAAGTGATTCAGACTACAGAGCTCTGCTTTCATGTTTCTTGGATCAGTAAGTCCCAAGAAAGCATCCCAAAATCCTGCTCTAGATCAGGACTTCAGTCACCTAGACATGCAGAACAGCTCCATCTCCCAGGTACCAGCCCAGCCTCCCCAGCACCACCCAGGACTACTGTCATTCAGGAGCTGTTATCCCAGGATAACTGTGGGACTTACTTAAGTGAGCCTCCCTGGCTGAGGAGAGCGGCGTGGCGATGTTGGAGCCCACATCCTGCAGCATGCACTGGACCTGGATATGGCAATCAGGACAAAAACGGGAAGTGCTCTCATGAACCAGCCTTTGATGCTGCGGTACAACTGCAGCAAGCCCCGTGCAGGCTGTGCTGATTAAAGGAGACCCTACCCTTGTTGTTGTTCATCATCCCACAGCCTGCTGGCAGGGGGGATCAGGTAAGTGCTCCCTAATTGCTTTATGAGGAGCCAGATTAGCACATGGAATTGTTTTCACCGGCATATTAAACCACAAAGGCTGAGTGCAGAAAGCAGACTGGGGAGGGTCCACATTAACCCCTTTGCTGGTAGGACACTGAGCCATAACCTCTGGAAGAAAGGCAGTGACAAAGAGCTGCAGACAAGGCTGGCTCCATGTCACGTCTGCTTCCAAGAGGGACATCTCTCCATGGATCAGGATACTGGTGAGGCTTTCTAACATCTCGGTCAGCTCCTTCTGCCTTCTTATATGCAGCAGAGCTGATCAGCAGAACTCATGTGGTTACTTTGCCCTGATTTCAAATCTGAGTGCTCTGACACCAAGACTTGTGTCCTTAGCCATGTCCAGTAACAGGTCTGGATAAACCTAGAGATACTTTTGCTCCAAACTGATCACTCCCAATTTCCTTCTTGGTTAAAGAAATTGATTTCTAATAGAGCAATCAAGGGGCAAAGCCTTAAGAATTCATTTATTTCAGGACTGGATTAATTAAATCCCTGTGTGTAGGTGGAAGCACTGTGTCTAACATTAAAGACTTTTAAGACTGTGTTTCAATAGCACTGATGCAGTGACTGCTCTGGGTGAGGGTTACCATTAATACTCACTTTGTGGAGCTGCTCAACAAATGTGTGGCCCTTTTCACTGCCAAATTCACCAGCAAGCCTGGGTTAAAAAACAGATGGAAAATGGAAAAATAACCACGATTGGGGTAGATGTAAGGCAGAAGCTCTTCCCTGTGAGGGTGCTGAGGCGCTGGCACAGGGTGCCCAGAGAAGCTGTGGCTGCCCCATCCCTGGCAGTGCTCAAGGCCAGGTTGGACACAGGGGCTGGAGGAGCTTTAAGGACTCTTAACCCACCCCAGGCTGTGATTCCATATGAAAACACAGGGCCTGGACACTCTTGGCTCTTTGTCAGCGCATCCCTCCAGAGAGCTTTGGCTCACAGCCTATCCCTTCCCCTGCTGCGGGGCTGGGAGAGCAGCTCTGAACGGAGGGGGATGCCCCAAAGACCCCACCGCAGGGGGACGATGCTGCATGGGCCTTCTGCATGGCTCTGGAGTGCCCTGGAGCCCCGGGGCCGCGGCTCCTGGGGCAGGCGTTACCCGATGGCCGAGCTCAGCTCGTCCGTGGCTCCCAGAGCTTCGAAGATCCGGTCGCCCTTGGGCCGCCTCTCCCCGGTGAAGGTGCTGGAGAAGCCTTTGGGAAAGGCCCGGGGGCGGCGCTCAGAGGCCGGGCGCAGCCCCGCTGCGTGTCCCCTGCCGCCGCCCCCGGGCGCTACCTGCGTCTCCCGTCTTCGTGTAGATCCTGGGGGCCCGCTCGCTGCGGGGGCCGCGGTCGGGGCTGCGGAGAAAGAGGCCGTGAGAGACGGCCCAGGCCCGGCCCCACCGCCCCGCGGCCCCCGGCGCTCACCTGCCCGCCCCGCTCCGCTGCCGCCGCCCCGCCGCCACCCCGCACCGCAGGGCCCGTCCCGCGGCCGCCGCCCGCGGTAACATCCTTCCGGGCCGCCGTAGCCGCCGTCCCTCCCTTCTCCCACGCGTGCTGTCACCCCAGCGCCGCACCACCGCGCGCTGCGCCTTTCCGATTGGCCAGCGCGAAGCCCCGCCCCCGAAACCGCATCGGCTATTGGTTAAGAAGCAAGGAGGGCGGGGCAGAGCGCGGTTCCTATTGGCCAGCGTGGCTGTCAGTTAGCGTGGCTGGTGCGGAGCAGCCGAGGCGGCGGTGCGGGGCTGCCGAGGTGCCGGGTCCCGCAGGGGGAGATGTGGGAGCGGAGCCTGGTGGTGTCGGCGCCGGGGAAGGCGATCCTACACGGGGAGCACGCCGTGGTGCACGGCAAGGTAAGGCCCTGCCGCCGCCGGGGCGCCGGGGCTGCCCTCGCCTCCCCTGACCCGCTTCTCCCCGCCCGCAGGTGGCCTTGGCCGTGGCGCTGGACCTGAGGACCTTCCTCCGCCTGCGACCGTGCGGCGAGCGCGGGCTGTGCGTCCGCCTGCCCGGGGTCAGCGTCGTGAGGAGCTGGGACGCCCCCAGCCTCCAGGCCCTGCGGAGGGGCTTTGCAGGCAAGCGCTGCCCTGGGGGTCGTGTGCGGCTCCGGGGCCTGCCCGGTGCCCTCTGCATGGGACCCGCATCCCTGCAGGGACCCCGTGCTGGGTTGTTTGTCCCCCCTGCACCCTCTGGCCACCCTCAGGAGGGGGTCCCTGCACGCTTCCTGCCTCTTGTGAGCTGCTTCACGCCCTGGTTCCTGTGAGTGGCCCTCGCTGCGGCTGGGTCCTCCCGTGTCAGCTCCCAGGGGCTTGTGCTGCTGCAGCTCAGGCAGACCGAGGTTCACATCCGGATGTGTTAGGGATGCGGAGTCTCTCTGAAGCTGGTCTGAGTTGAGGGCTCCTGGGGAGGGCAGGGTCTGGGGCTGTTCTCTGCTCTCCTGCCTCTGTGCTCCATGGCAGCATCTTGTGCTAGGTGAGAGCCCCTGGCTGCTGGCTGTGCCTTTTGCCTCCCAGGGACCTGGCTTTAACCCCCGCGATCCTGCATTTGCTTAGCAGAAAGCAGAACGAGCTCTAATAAGTCAGAGCACTGGTGGCAACCTCTCAGCACTGACCAAAAGCTCTCTTGGAATGGGCTCAGTCTGTTTCAGCCTGTTGTAGCAGGAGAGGTGCTGTCAATACTGCTGTCAAGTTGAACCATTCCTGGCTTCCTGAGTTTCAATTCTCCCCTCTTGCTTCCATAGCTGGCTTTGATGCATCAAAGTCCCCCAGTGCAGAGCAGCTGGATACACTGAAAGAGTTTGCTGGAATTGCTGCCGGAGCCTCAGCTCCCGAGAGCCTTGCCATTCTTGCCTTCCTTTACATGTACCTGGCTATTTCGGCTAAGCATGGGTAAGGCCGCCTTCCTGCCCCAAATCAGATGTTCACCATTAATTGCCTCCCCAAGATCCTGGGAAGAAACCAGCCCTTTGAGACAGCATCTCACTTCATTTGGGTTCTGAGCACCTCAGGTGATGCTCTTCAGAGCTGAGCTCTATGGAGGATGAGGTGCTCTCATTTAGGCATCAGGCTTTGAGGTGCTTAAGTTGGAGCGATTGATCCCACCCTTCCTGCACAGTCAAGAGAAGCAGACACAGATGTCTCACCCTCCCATGGGCAGCTCAGTTCATCCTGCCTTAGGATGCTGGACACGAGCTGTGAGTTTCATGTCTGAGCTAAGGTTGATCCCTCCCATGGGCTGAATATCCCTAAAAACATGAGCACTTGGGGTCCCTGCAGCTCAGGGCTGGTCCAGTTTCTAAGCCTGACTGACACTATTGCTAGCAGAATGTGATACTGGACAGCTTAAACCGAATCAGAACCTGACCTCAGTGTTCATAGCAAAGAAATGAAAGGTTAAAGACTATGATGGGTAGCTGCATTGTGCTTTGCCTCACAGCCTCTGAGCTGTGGGGTGAGAGCACTGGGGCTGTCATCAGCCTGCTCTGAGACCACCCGTTCCTAGTTCATGTCACTCACCAGCCATGGAAAGCTCCTGGGGTTGATGTTAGGGTCTGTAACACAACCCAGATGGGTTCAGTGGAGAAAAGGGGCACACGGGCACAGATACTCGTGCTTGTTGCTCCAGTGCGATGTAACTGTGCAGTAATTATGCTTTATTTAGAAATACGTTTAAAATCCTGTTTACAGCAATCTTTGAAGGGTCTCTTTATGGTGCTACTCAAGTACTTAGTTACCAAGTGCCCTGCTAGCAGCTTGACAAGCTGTGCTAATCACAGACCCAATTCAGGGAGGCTTTGTTCTAGCACAATGGCTTAGCAAGGCCCCTCAGCTGTGCTAACTGAGCACTCCTGAAGCCCCTGTGTGTGTTGATGCTTATGCTGATGTTGCCACTTTTCAACCAGCTTTCCCTGGGATCAGTCCTAATTGCTGTACTTTGCCTTGTAAATGTTGTCTCAAGATGGGTTTCGGGGTCCTTGTGCTGCATCCTCTGTGCTTGTGTTCCAGAGATGTTCCCAGTGTGGACATACTGGTGTGGTCGGAGCTGCCCACAGGAGCTGGGCTGGGTTCCAGTGCTGCCTATGCCGTCTGCTTGGCCGCGGCCCTGCTGACTGTGTGTGGAGCCATCTCCTGCCCTCTGAAGGAGGGAGAGCCCACGGCCAGGTAACACATCCCATCACCCTGCCTGCTTCGGGTGCACGGCCCCGGGCAGCTCTGCTCTCTGTGCCCCTCTGTGCCCTTTTCCCCCCCACAGATTCTGGCTCTGGCACCTCTCTTGGTCCCTATGGCCAAGTCCTGCGCTGTGGTTGTGGCTGCAGCAGTGGCACCCTGCGCCCGGCTCCTTTCCCTTCCTCCCCTGTTGCTGCTCTGTGTTCCTGGCAGCAGGGACGTGCCCTGCCCCAGGGCTCTGACCTGGGAATAGCGAGTTTATAACTCACGTGTGATAAAAGCAGCTGGGTGCAGAGGCTGTGTAAAACCTGCACCGTTTCCCTCCTCTAGTGCAATGGGCTTAAAAAAACCCAGCTTTATTTTGCCACGCAAATAAAACACACTTTAAATAGTGAATTTGTTTAACCTCTATTTCCTCTCTGTCCCTGAGCATCTCCCAGGCTTTGCTTTGAGCCCTCAAGGAGTCAGAGATCCTTTCTGGTTTCCCTGCGTTTTCACATGAGTGTTTCTCTGCACGTGGTACCTGTCCCACATCATCTCCTGCCCAAGTTTCCCCCTTATCAGTGCCTGGTGAAAGAAGGTTTCTTTCCTCCTGCCCTTGGGTTGCTTTCCCTTGGAGCTGAGCCCTGCTGGACTGGTTTGCTGTGCTCTGTGTGCCTGTTTAAAGATGTGTATCACAGCAGGAGCTCAGCACCTCTATTGTGCGCTCTGCTCCCCCTGCCAGGTGCACCCTTTATGGCTGGCTTCAGTGGACTTTGTGTGGGGCTTAAAGTGCGCAGCAAAGCAGGGGGTGCCTCTGTTCTGCTTCAAACCTGGGTTTGCTCCTGACCCACAGACCCATTCTTGGAGCAGGGCAGTTTGTGCTCAGGCAGCTTTGCCCCAGCCACAGGCGTGGGGGACGAAAGGCCGGTCCCAAGGCGAGCAGCACGGATGCCTTCATTCCCTGCTCCCGCTCCGGAGCTGCAGCTTGAGTGCAGCGTGGTTTTTCCCCTCCCGCTGGCATGCAGAGGGGTAAGTGAGAGATGAGAGTGTCAGACTTCAGAAGGTTTTTTGCTTAACGTGGCAAGAAAAGAACAGCGTGATATAATGACTCCTGTGCGGAGAAGAATCGCAGCCTCTCAGAGAGGATTAAAAACAAGTGGTTTACAGCAAACTGCGCTTCTATTTTGAGTAGCGGCGGCGTGAGCTGCTTTGCTGAATGCTTTGCAGATTAAATATTGGCAAGAGAAATGAAAGGTGCCTGGAGATGGATAAAGACGTTCAGCTGAGGCCCAGGGAAGCGGGGAGTTGGAGGAAACAGCTTCCAGAGAGCAGGTGGCTCTCAGAACTTCAGTGCTGCTCTCATTATTTCATGGAAGACTGATGCTTTTCCATCAGATGCCCCTGCTCCATCATCTGATACCTGTTCCGTGCCCTGTGTTCCAAAAACCTGTTGAGTGCACGTTCTTGCTGCAGCAAACACCAGCTCTGATGTGTGCAGAGCATCGCTGGGGCTGGGATATCTGATAGCACCGTGCATCAGGGCGTTTGAATGGGGACCTGGAGTGTGTGCTGTGTGTCTGCACCGCAGAGCAGTGGTGCAGGGAGGGTCAGAGAGGAGCAGTTGTGTGCCTGTGTGAGCCTGTGTGCATTACAGCAGGGTGCAGGGGGTGCTGAGCTTCCCTTGGGCACCAGGGTTTGAGGCCGGAGTGAGTGGGTTTGAAATAGACTGGTGAGTTGTGAAGGTTCTGTGGGTGCAAGCCCCAAGGGCCCAGAGCAGTGGGGTTGTGAAGGGTGCTGGGCAAGGAATCACTGCACTGGATTGCAGGGAACCTGCAGACAGTAACTGGCAGCTCTGCATTTGCTTTTTGTGGTGCTACAGCCCATTCATTAGTATGTGCAGGCAGGGGCCTGGATCCTTGCTGAGCCTTGACCCAGCACCAAACTCTTTGTGCCACCATTTGAACTCCCAAAGCACTTAACCAGTTGATGGCACTGCTTTTAAGAGGGCAGGAAGAGCTGCTTTTGTGTTGTTAGCATAACACCTTCTGGGTCTGCATTTGGTTCCCTTCTGCTGGCACCCGGTGCAGCTGAAGTGTTAGGAGTTAATCCCGGGAAATCAAAGTCTTTGCTGGAGATGCTGTAGTTAAAACTGCTTTACTTTTTGACCCAGTTTGTGAGGCAGCTGAGCAGCTGGCAATTAGAGGCATGTGTGAAATGCAACTTTTACTACTCTCTTCTCACATCACACCTTCTATGGCTATAAATACACCATCCTGCCTGGCGCTGAGCAGGATCTCAGGCCAGGATGTGTGGAAACACGCAGTGTCAGGGGGGTGGGATGGGTCTGGGCTTGCATTGAGTTAAACCTGATCCTCACTTGA